TATTTCACGCCTTTGGAATATAGTTATAGTGGTGGCAATAACTATGATATAAGCTTAAAATTAACAAAAGAGAGTCTCAGATAGCTATTGAACTATATTCAAGCTGTATTATTTCCAAAAATAAAGAGATAATATATATAAGATATTCATTTATATAATATATTTGATGATTGAACTCGTGTGAATATAAACAGCACTAAAGTTAATTTTATGGAAAGGCCCCTTACACACGTAGGAATGTAAGGTAGCTTACATTAGATATATGAACTAGATACAGTACGTAGTGATTGATAATAATAATGATTGTCCCGTAATTTTTGTAGTTGATAGCTTAATTTAATACTGTAATTTTATCTAAGTCATATAATATGATGTTTATACATAATTAAGCCATAAATTGGTTAATATTCCGTCCTGTGTCATCAATTTGTTGGAGAAGAATTTGCTGATAATGATCGTTCAACGATTAGTATACAGTTATCACCCACATGCGAAGTTATAGAAAGGATAAGAAATTCCATTATAAGAAAAGATCCCTAATTTTGCTTTAGTTGGAATTTGATTTTATAAACAATTTTCTCGCCTTTTATAAATATTTCATCAGTGGATACTTTCAACGTAACAAACGAAGATTTCGAATGGAATTTTGAAAAGAATTATTAGCAAAATATTTTCATTTTGTTCACATTAATTTAATGCGGTATTTGCTCATTATTTCCTAGACCGTACGGCTACTGTGTTCCATCTTCTATAGCTCCAACTGCTGCTAATAATACAACACCAATAATTTTGCCAACTGACTGCAGGTATCATTTATATCTTATTAAAATATCGTATATTTATAAATTATTTTGAGGACAAAAATTACTTCTAGAACTAATCTTTAATTATAAAGTAGATCATACTCTATTCATGTTTAGTTGTATTCGCCACAGAAACGAGTATTCATGGTCAATTACATTATTTAGAACAATTATCTTATTGATGGTACTACGATAGATATTTATGGAATTTAATTAAAAGTAAGGAAAATTTCTGCTATCATATTCGCTACGGCGGGAAAGTAAAAACTACGTAGTTCAGTATTGCGTTTATAAAATATTAGCCATACAATGCAATTATGATTCAATCTAGGTTAAAAGAGATCAACACTACGCATAAGCTAAATACTGTAGTTAAAGGATCTAAACGAGTTGTAAGATCATATGAAACTAAAAGAGTATCATTAATTAGGAAGTACCTGTGTTAGGGGTATTAATCTTTATAGTAGTAACCTAATATGCAAAAATTGAACGAATTTTAAAGCTATTTTAGTCTTTTCTTAACCAAATAAAGAATATGTGATGTTTTAAACGCATCTTATTTTTCCCTTTTTGGATGCCGTTGTGGACATTACAGCCAAACAATAGTTCAAATTAAGGCGATTCTCTTCTTCAATTACTCACTCAATGCCGATTTTCGAAGAGAAAAAATTAAGCAAATATGGGATATAGCCATGACTCACGGATTTATCGGCAACTTAATGTTGGTACCTGAGCAGTGTGAATTACAATTAAAATTGGTAAGTTTGAACTCAAATTTGTTATCAGTATTACGCCAATCATATGGGCAGTTGGCCATTGCTCTATGTAATTATTACAAAGTAGCATTTGTAATTTATTAAGCATTTCAAATTTTATTTATCAACACCAAGCAATTGGATTAGATATTTACTTTATCTGATTATATTCTAAGCATTAAATTATGTACAATTTCAATATGAACGTTTAGTTGTGAAGAATTTCAAAACTGAATTAACCTCCAAAATCTTGATCAGTATTATTTTATAGTTTGTTTTGACCACCTATCGAAATAGACATGTTTAAATTCTAGTAATCTTCTCTCTTTATAGTTTCTTTCTTTTCCGATAATGAATGTTTTTATCGCCTTACATCGTAAATTAAATAATTGTAACAGTTATTTCCAAATTCTATTATTGTCACGATGTTTTTAAAATCTACATCTATTCGACTACTATAAGTTTACATTGATCTAAGATCGTTAGTTCTTGACCTATAAATAAGTCAATGTTTTATACTTGCATCAGCAGGCTGATCTTATTGTAGTTAATAACTATTTTTTCATCCGATTAAAATACAAGTAACTCATTATTATTAAATTATATTGATGATAGTATTCTATCATAGATCAACATTTTATAGGATTAGTCAAGGACATATTCTAATATATTTTACATAGATCTAGTTATATAAATACTGGCATATTTAGAATGTGGGTGTGCGTGGGTAGTAGAATGCAAGTCAAATAGACTAATATTGCTGATAGCACTACATCTAAGTTATATTTACAGCATGCGGATAAGTCTATAAGTAAATGTTCATATGCTATATATATATATATACATATTTCAGTAGAGAATCGCAAGTAAACAACTAAACTTTTCATAATTATATCGACAATTCTCCTTTAACACACTACACTTGCAATGGCAAGTTAATAGACCTATAACTAATAATAACACTAATTTTGATAAATATAATAAAAACTAAATTTATCATATGCATGATTAAAGCAGCATACATAATCGAAAGTTTTGCAAAATGCCCAGTAAAACAACCCATTATATGTAAAAAGAAAAATGATTATGGATATCTGTACATATGTAGATAGATTTTTATATGATAACATAAAATTAAAAATATTTAATAGTGTTTTAACTTGTACATTAACATTGAATACTACGTTTTGAATACTTTCCATTAATAGACGGTTCAATTTAAAAGTACACTACCATCGATGATCAAAAATATTACGCTATCCAACAGCACTAATTACGAAGCCATTTTCCGCAGAGCAATCCGCACCACGTCCGAAATCGGCAATGGACTTTCATTAATTGGTGCCATTATGACTATTATGACTTTGCGCTACTTCAGGTAGATATTCCCAAAGTTTAGGATTGAGATTTCATAATAAAGTTTCAATTAAAAGCTGAAAGTAGTATCTGGCCTCTTTTAGGTTATAATTGATAACTATTTGATCATACCAAAGTATTATCATCCATTGAAGGCATAAAGTAACATTTGGCAATTAATACTATTACTTAACTGGCTTGCCCAAGTCGGCCTTTCTAACATGTTGCCTTTTATCTTAAATGTTAATGCACTCAGTTTTTATTCATTTTTTTAACAAATAAATAGTAACAACATGACAGTAATTATTTCTGACGTTGACGAACGCGTTTTCCTTTCTGATTTTCGTAGTATTTTTGCTTTCGATATTAATTTAGATGATAATATAAACTGCTTCAATTTGTACTTATTTACTTATATTCTATTTTACTTAGAAAACTACGTGCAAAGAGGGTCAATTTGCTTATTTGCATTTTAAGTGTTACTGTTGCTGCTTGTAATGCATTAAATTTTGCTGTGCAACGAGCCGCTAACTATCCTACCCTATGCAAAATTGTTTCGATCTCCATGCATTTTTTTCTACTATCGAAAACGATTTGGACGACTATTTTGGCGCTTCATTTATACTTTAAATTGATTAAAGTCTTTTCAGCTATCAACTATGTTACAACGACTAGGCTGATAAAGTTTACCATATTGTTAGGATTTGGTAAGTTGAGCGATATACGAGCATATCTAAGGATAAGAGAAAAGCATTTTCGTATCAAGATAATTAAATTTAAAGTTTAAGTAGGATTATCATGAGGTGAATTGTTTGAAATTACCAATCAGGAAGTTATTTAAAATACTCATAAGGCTTAATTTAATTCTTGTACAATTAATTTTATTCCTCTACATCGTTTAAAATTCATTTCTATACTAATAATTTATTACAATTTAGGTATTCCAGCCTTGGCGGTAGGAACTGCGGCAGTTTTAGATGGCGATAATATTTATGAGAGGAATGCTAATGGATTGTAAGTATAGATTAAATGATCTTAAACATTTCTAACAGAATGTTTTTCTTTGGATTATGCAAAATGTCCTACATAGAGAATGCCTTATTAACCTTTAAATAAATTCTGATCTGATTATTAAACTATCTCTTACTATATATGCATTATTGCTTGATCACAATCAATCCTTACTACATTATTTTACTGATACTGAACTACGATCGTCGTTTTATTCTAGTTGCTGGATGAATCGATTCCATGCTGACGTACTGTACATATTTCCTATGCTGGGCTTTGTTGGTATTAACTTTGTTATTTTCTTCATCATCTCTTACCAAATCAGAAAATCATCAATAAGTCATCATCGTATCCGGACTAAAATTACTATGTCCCAAGTTCGATCTTTAATGGCATTTGTTACCGCTTTAGGCCTAGCTTGGATATTTGTACTATTGACTTATATTGAAGGGCCGACTGTTTTAAGGCACTGCTTTGAAGCAATGTTTGTTACTTTTACATCATTGCAAGGTTTCTTTCTATATTACCTTTACTGTATATCTAAAAAAGAAATCAGGATTTGCTACTTGGAATTGTTTGATTATAAACCTAATAGTCAGACACCTACAATAACAGGTACTTCGACAAAACGAACTGGTACCTACGTTGTGCGTAATTCTGTATTGACTTCTCGACCAATGTAGACATAGAATAGAGAAAATACTCGTATATACTATATTGTATATATCCCTCGTTAGTTTTCTTCTTCTTAGTTGTATCATTAAAAAGCAACGATGATTATCTAGCTGTTGTTACTTATAACCTAATAAAATCAGGTTAGATATTTCTGTAGTCGTCCGCGTTTCTAATGTTTATTTTTTAATTTATTTATTGCACGTGTGCATTGATTTCATTTTTGGGGGATGATCGAAGTTATACGAGTATATTATAAACTAATGATATAATTGTCGACAGCGAACAATTTTTTTCGTTATTTGTTCGTATTACGTGTCTATATTGTCAAGGTTTATCGAAAATTAATCGAGTTGAAATATGGATAGTGTCGTAATTAGGGGTAGGTGTATATATCATTGCTATCTAGATAAAAAGACGTATAATTAACTTGTTACTTTTCACTCATTTTTATGATAAAATCGTACCAGAAAATAACCCTTTTCCATAATTTGTTTTAAAATGATAATCGCAATCTCCGTATTGTTACTCTCTTAATTAATAAACTCCAATATGGTCAATACGTGAATACTGAAGTATTTTAAACTGCGGCAATTGATCAAATTTTGCATATCACTTTACTGCAGATTAGCCTCTAAACGGCAATCAAGTAGTGCAAAGATAGCTGCAAAACTATGTTCACTGAAAATAATGCTATTGTAAATACCCATCGACAACGCTCCCTGACAGGCAATTTTATTAATTGAAGTTCCAATACTTCTTTCTATCTGCATATAATTTGTAGCTGCTAATATGATCTTTTGCATGATCATTATACTCGTACAAGATATAAATAGCTTTACTTTCTATATTAATGATCTTACTATTACATTTCATAGTTTTTAAATTGCTCGTATGATAGAATAGGTGTCTGGTAAAACATTGTGATTTACTTTATTTTAGCTTTGGCATTAAGTTTTTGACATTAAATGCTTATCAATAAATTTCATTTTTAGGAAATATTAAAATACCAACCCGTTGAAAGCTTGGTGAAATTGATAGTTTAACTTAAACATAGTAAAAAAAGGCGATGGAATCATCGAGTCTTGTATTTTAATAATAGTGCAACTTACTTGTATGTAGTATGCACTAGAATTGTTGTTAAAATTGTTAATAAATGTAGCAGACAGCTTTCTTACTCTTCTTAATGTATAAAATAATCCATACGTTTTCGCACTTCACGTAAGGAGATTTACAGGCAGTGACTTTATACAATGGCATAAGTTACCCTACATAACCGTACGAAATGGTATGTAAGTATTAGTTTACAGATCTTACAACTTTGGAACAGCGCTATCGTATAGAATTATTTACCAAATAGGTATATGCTTTATGCGCATATGCTCATATATTGACACTGTACAGTACATTACTTTCAATATATTACTTGGCTCTTGGAGAAACAAATTCAAATATCGTATTTTAATTATTTTCTTCATTTGGTTGTTCATCGTCCGATTTATTCGTCCAAGAAAAATCTGGCAGCCAATTTGTCACTTTTCTTCTCAATTCTTCTTTTCTTCTATTCTTTTCTTTCTCTTTCCTGTGTAAGGGCACAAACTCTCGCCAATTTTTTAACATGGCTAGTTTCAATCTCCTAAATTGATCAATTAATAGGATAGTAAGCTAACTTACAGGACGTTTATAGAAAAAGTTGTAACACTATATTTAAGAAATTGCTACCGTTGATCATGCTTCTTCGCCCTTCTGTCTTTTTCCCAATAGAACAAGACTTCTTCATGAGTGAATTTCTTCCATTTCTGCATATATAACTGTAATAATCTCTTCTGATTGTGTTCTTGAGCAATAACGTATTGATTTCTCGCCTCTTTAACATACTATTAAAAAAATATATATGTAAAACTAAGATCGATCGAAATAATCTGGGTATGACGAATGTGAGTATATCAAGAATACAGTATGTCAAATAATTTTTTCAAGCATTATACAGATATAAAGCAAGAGACTTACTTGAATCCATAACTTATGATACTTTCGAGTAATAATCATACAGTAAAAATCATCAGCAACTGCCTCCTTTTGTAGTCTTGCTATTTCTGCTACTTTATGCCAAGCTATTAAAGTAAACTTCTTAATTCGCTGCATGTCATGCTGAGCTGCTAAATCGAGGTTTCTTTTCGTCATCTTCACCAATTTTTTCATTGGATCTACACCGTATTTGGTTAATAATAAACGATAACGGAATAATTCTGCTTGATAATTAATTTTAGCCATATGTTCAATTCGTTGCTGTTTCTCAATTTCTCTCTATCGTTATTACATAATATAACATTTGGAAGAAGATTAAGACAAATATACAGTAAATTTATATCTTCATAAAACAGTAAATGTAAAGAAATGATAGAAAAATTATGGTAGCACATCATTTGTTAGCAATACATACTCGTATAGTGTACAATATCCTGCTTACCTGTTTAGTTTGTCTCTTCTCGTCTTTCAATTTCTCAATTCTTGTTTGTTTTGCTGCATATTCTTGCAAGCGTCGTTGCTCTTCTTCTAGTTTAATTTTAGTCTGAAAATAATCAAAATAGTTATACGTTTATATGTAACCATATTCTGATATTGCCACGATGCATGACTATTAAAATTTTAAAATTTTTATAGCCATACCAATCGTTCCTCGTCTTGCATTCTTTTTTTCTCCTCTAGAATTCTTTTACGCTCCTCTCGTTCTCTGGCTCTTTTCTCCATAGCTTTACAATGGAAAAGAGAAGATAAATTTTCAGCCCGTTATACGATCAACTAAAGTAGATGTAGCATACATAAGTTTACCTGACATTCCCGGTGCTTTTATAATACGATGATTTTTTTTAACTATAGCAGTATCCCGCGATATATGCTTATAATTTACTTTTTCACCAACAGTAGGTAAATTAGAGGGTAGATTACTAATTGTGGCCTTGTCATCGTTTAACTCAATATTGGGGTTGCTCTTCACATCTTCTCTTTCCGTTTTATTGACTGTATCATCTTGAATCGAACGACGAGAGTTTGGTAGATAAGTTTCACTGTTCGTATCGTCCAAAACAGCATCGTTAATATCATTTACTTCTTCGTTAAATTCAGAATAGGCTTCTGCATCAATATTCTCAATCTTTATTTCATCATATCTCGGCGATTTCGTTGATTTTGATGATTTTGTTGCTTTGCTAAAGAAAGGTCTTGTACCATCATCATATTCTTCGATATTTGTCTTTTCTTGAGGCCTGCTTTTAGGTTTAGAACTGTATACAGAACTTTTCTGGCCATATGATTTAGAAATTTTACTTTTACTCCAAGCAGATTTTGGGCCTTGGTCCTGACCGACGTTGTGATCTATTTTAACTTGATTTTTTCTGTGCTTGGATTCTGTATGCGCAATATTTGATTTACCCTAAATTTTATCAACAATAAAAACAAATATTATATCCTCTGTAAAAGGTAACGTTCACTCGTGGGTGTGTTTGATCCGGTCTCAATTATAAATTACACATAAGTATAATTTCTAGCCTTACAGATGTTAATTTTCCTTCAATGACACTAGCAATTTCGTATCTCATGTCATCATCAGCAACATTTGCAGAAGGAATACTTTTAGCCTGCTTTCCTGTAGGTTCATCCTTATTCCATAATTTTCCAGTAGCAGCAGCTTCTAAAAACGCCGCCATCTTTTTCTTTTTGACTCTATGTTGCATTTCTTCCATTCGTTGCTGTAATGCTGTCCGACTCCAATGATACCAAGCCATGAAGCATTGCTGTAATACATTAATTCGCCAATGTTCGATTGCAATTTGTTCGTTTCTAATAATTAGCATAAACAAGGATTTAAATTAATGATATGAAAAATCTATCTTAGATATTAAAGATAAGGTATACTATAATTATAAATATTTACACAATAACGAATAATGAAAATCCTCACTAACCGGATGACCTTTCTCATAGATTTTTGAAATGCATACGTCTCTCGTTCAGCGTTAGTATTGCGAACGTAAGATCGCCACGCATTCCAGACTTTCAACTTGAATTTAAAGTCCATTATTGCTCTGATTTTACCAATTTTAAGATGCTTTTCAGCCAAAATTGTATACCAAGCGGAGAAATGCCTACGTAAAAGCTACCAGTAGATAAAAATGAAGGTTAACGCAAAAATAGATAATTACCATTTTCATTGTCAATTTAGTTACCATTAAATTACGCTTAGCATGCATTTCTTTAATTTTAAGCAATCTTCTCCTTTTGTCTAATTCTTGTTGCTCCTTCCTGCGTTGCTCTCTATCGATTTCAAGCCTCATCGTGTTACTACTTTCAATATCTTGTTTAGCCCTACTTTCTGCTTCCATACGCATAAATTCCTCCCTAACAGTATAAGATTGAAAAATCTCGTAGTTTCATAAACCTTACCCAAAGGTAATTTTGCTCTCAGAATAAGCCGTCTGTACAAGGTTTTTACTAATTACTATAGTAATTCTAGGCGGTTATAATAAGTAAATATAAATGTGAATGTAATCTTGGTAATGATTGTAATTTAACATTTGTGCTAGTGTACTATAAAGTGTCATACAGTGCGGTTTTACCTTTCTCGTTGTTCTTGCTCTGCGCGCGCTTGCTCTGCCATTAGTTTCCGTATACGTACCATTTCACGATTAATTTCTTGTTCTTCTCGTCTAGCACGGGCAAGCTTATGCTTTTCTTCGTGATCTACTATTTTTTTAGCTTCCTTTGTAGCTTCCTGACGCTTGGTAATTAACTGCTTTGCTTTAGCTTCTTTCTGTCTACGTGCTTCCCATTTTTGCTTCATCTTCGATATAATATCAATAAATAATTATCAACCGACTTGTTTGAAAGAGCCTTAGCTTCCATTTTAGCATACAGTAATTTATTCATAGCATAGAAGAGACAGTAGTACGTAATTATATCTATTACATTTTCTGACCTGTTGTTGTCGAATCTCCATTCTTGTTTTAGGATTATTTGTTTTTTTATGGGTTTCTAATCCTAAGTCTCGGAAAGCTTTACCTTGCAGAGGTTTCTTCAATAGCTCATCCAATACCTTTTGTACAGCAACTGTCTCGTCAAGATCATCTCCCACTAACGGAAAGCCAACATCATAAGAATCTAGTGTTTATTTAGACGCAAAAATGGATAAAAAAAATGATCGCTTTGATCCATGTGTCTACAGCTATTTTCGAGTTACAGTTAACTCTCTATCATTGATTTAGTATTCAATATACAGTACATAGAAAAAAGGAGATAATTTTACTAATCCATTACCTTGATCGATATGAGAATAATCTTCATCTACAATAGGCATATCACCAGTAAATTTTTCATTCATCCAATTATCTAGAATTTCTTTAGCTAAAGGCAATTGATAATAATTATAATATTATGATAGCGTTTCAATTATTCAACAACGATAGAAGTACAATAGTCAAGATTGAAGGAAATAGTTTGATTTGTTGATGAATAACGTTCATTCGCTGTAGGCTATTGATTGAGTAGCCATTTGATATGTGACAATATTTGATTGGAATTTATGCTATCACGTATTGCTGGATAAGCCTTCGAACAAACCTTCAGCTTGAGCTGAATCGTCGTCTTGTATATAATCATAGGCGGATAAATCAGCATGACCGGTTACATGTGCGAATAGACTAGGATCGATTTGATTATTTACTTCCTGGTGACAAGAGAGGAGCACAGTATAGTTTTAATACCTTATTTTATGACTAATACTGATAGTATTTGTTATGATCAAATTTACTACGGCATAAAGATGATTGTAATTCATTGTCATGAAGAAGGAATAGAGTCCAACTATCTTGCGCTATAGTTCTACCTGATTGTCCATGTGTCTACTCGAATAGCGACTATTTTTTGAACTCTATCTTACCTGAATTAATTCATCCAAATGATCATTTTCCGTATAGCTAGTTTTATATTTACTCCCAGCCTATATCAAATCGAATTAGAACTGTATTAGGATAATTGATCAATTGATTGGCTGCATGTTGTTGATATTGTAGCGTACGCATACGCGTATTCATAACATGATCGATTGTTGATATATCAAGGTCGAACCTTTGCAGGTTGATTGATTCTCCTCCATCGGAAAAGACTGGAATTACCACTTTCAGCCATCCTTCTTAGCTATTGATTTCTATCACGGAGCTTCTGTTATTACCTTACCAATGGTCATTAATAATAATATGTGTACATCTGGATATTGACTGTCGATTGCAAAGTTGCAGATTGCGCCATCTTCGGTAGGCCGTTTGAAACCGATTTGGATGGGTATGTTGCTACAGTAACTGCAGTCCAGTACGGTACAGTGTACAGTGTACAGTGAGCGCTGTTTAGGACTGTGGGTCATGGTACTATGTACTGTAAGTAGAACAGGACTGCATGAACTGTCGATAGTCCAGTACAGTACAGTGTACAGTGTACAGTGAATGTTGTTCAGGACTGTGCGTCATGGTAATACAGTACTGTACTGTATGTGCTGTACTGTAAATAGAACAGGACTGCATGACTGTCGACAGTCCAGTACAGTGTACAGTGTACAGTGAGTGCTGTTCAGGACTGTGCGCCATCGTACTATATACTGTAAATAGAACAAGACTGCACGAGTGTCGAGTGTCGACAGTCCAATACAGTGTACAGTGTACAGTACAGTGAGCGCTATTCAGGACTGTGCCTCATGGTACTACAGTATGTACTGTAAATAGAACAGGACTGCATGGCTGTCGACAGTCCTGTACAGTGTACAGTGTACAGTCTGTGGAGAATATACGGTAGGTACAGCACTATACAGTACTGTACTATAGTGGATAGTATAGTATTTTGACTCCACTGTACTGTATTGTACGGTACAGTGTTGTGTGTTACTGTATCTCGTGCTAATACTGACCACTGTATTGAAAGTTCGTACTACTCTCACTTAGCATTGAGACAAGAAATTGAAGACGTAGTTGAAGTTATTGTAAAACTAATTGCTAACTCTGCTCTCCTTTTAATGTATTGAAAAGTGGCGGCTTATATGCGTACGCCGTTGACACTTACAACGCATTATAATCACAAGTTTGTAGAACAGTCAATTCGCTATACTGTACTGTCCAATGAGCTTACGGGACTGCACAGTACTACTGTACAGTGTACAGTGTTGTACTGTACTGTACGCCAATCGGTACTAGTGTACCACGTGGGTGCTAGCAGCTAGCCTACAAGTTACCGACAGATAGACAGGACAGTACAAGGTACAGGACTGGAGGGGAAAATAATAGGAATTCTATGGGATGCTGTCTGCATGGCTACAGCTTGTACGAGGTACACCGCCAAGTAGCCGCGCCATGCTGGTCTATTCCACTATTTGCGCCCACTGTGAAACACCGCTTACCCTTAGACTGCCTTGGATCGTGGCTGGAGAAGGTGAAAATGGCTGGCGTCCTCTTCGAAGATATATTCGATGTCAAAGATATCGATCCTGATGGCAAGAAATTTCATCGCGGTATGCTACATTATTAATTGATCTATCTGTTATGACCTTATTTCATCTCAAATGAATAAGCGTATTTTTACAGTGTAGTTTCATGAGTAATAAGAGACAGACATCAGTCATTCAACATGACTGTACTTGACTAGAGACAATAGCATCGCTAGGTGATGGAGAATGAAAGATAGTCGTCCATGTTGTGGATGAGTAGGATTAGACATGATTTCGATCTACTTCTTGTTTTCTATGACTTAGTACAAGTGATAAAATACCATCGTAGTATGGAGATGGAACCTTTGACATGGATAACTCGAAGAAAACTTTCTACTCGAGTTATCTATCCTTCAATTACAGCAGTAGTGGTATGGTCAATTTCGCTAATTTACAAACTACAATCATTTGTACTTCAACGTATAGCTCGCTTTTACAACTCATTGAGCTTGATATCGATAAGAATGATCCAATCTTTCATTGTTTTCTTGTTCTCATATGGCTTGCTTCTGACTGTTGGTGATGCTATTCCATTTCAGTGTCAAGATTAATTTGCGATAGTGAAAGCTTTAAAATGGAGCTCATCTTGGATATTAACTCCCAATTATATCCTGTTGAAGACGGTGATAAGTTTAGACTAATGTTAGCATCAACACTACGAGAGGATGGCATTGCTGATGATGGCGAATATAACCCCCTTGGTGTTAACGGCTCGAATAAAGCCGATAATTTTGAATACGTAATGTACGGTAAAATCTATCGATTAGAAGGTGATGAAGACTCAGCCAAAATGTAAGTCGATCAAGTTATATTATCCATCTTGGACGAGAAATAATATTCTTTCATGCATACTGGATACAATCTATCCTTCAACGTATTGATATTGTTATTTATCTCATTGACAGAGCTGTCTATATATCTTATGGAGGTTTACTGATGAGATTGCAAGGAGACCCTAACAACTTACAAGGATTCTCTGTAGATAATCATGTTTATTTACTTATCAAGAAATTATCTTATTAAGCAAAATATGACGATCATAAAATACACCTGATATTATATTGAAAACTTTTATAGTCATGGTTTCTTCATTAAATTACTATTAAACTCTTACTGTAATATACCTATATCTTTATGTCCAAGTTATGTAATATTTATGTACCTTAACCATCGCGCTGTAACTAGAAGCATTCCCTGTTATACTAGCAATGTACCTATTCTAGTTGATTGGTTATGACCATTATTATTTCTTTTAGAAGAAATTGCTATGCTAACTTTAGCCTTTCTGTCATTACTCTTTCATTTTGTATAATACGTTACTAGTTTTATTTCAATCTGCAAGTAATCAGAACTTATAGAAATTGAATGATCCTATCGATTGCAGTCTATATACAGTTTTATTCTTCATAAAGATCTTTCTAGCTGTCGTCGTACTAATCATAAATATACACCAACATCTTTTATAATTAATATCATTGTTGTAAAACTATTAATCCAATTTTAAAATTTAATAAAACTAAAAAGGTTATTCATTGTCAGAAGTGATAATTTCATATTTGGCATTGAATAGTTCACCAGTATAATCTCCAGCTCACGACCGTTTTCATGATCAATTCACGCCATTTCTCAATTGTAAGGGACGTAGGTAAATAAATTATAATAATCAGGCATTGCAAGTTAACGTTTACAATTTATCAATTTTCAAATTTGTAGGATCTAATACTAGTATTTAATACGATGTATTCAAACCATAACTCAAGCACATTTGAAAAGAAAATTATAAATGTTTACTAGACCATTTTAAATAAATTTTAGAAATTAAAAACATATATCCAATAGAAATTTGATAAGAGCATTATAAATCGCCAGGATTTAATCCAAATTCCATTAGAGCTTGCCTATTTTCTAGTTCCAACAACGATGCTTGCTTTTCCCATCTTGCTCGAGAGGTATCAACCTCTTCAGATAAATCGTCAAGAGCTTCCTATAATGGATATGAATTTAAATGATATTATATTACTTTAGACAGTAATAAAGTGAACCATAGTACACCTTATTCTGTAAAGATTATTGTCTTATCCTCACAGGAAGAAATGATATCACCTACATTAACTATAGCTTCATATGTAGCTTCCATATCATCGATCCTAAGCTGTAATTCTTGAATGGTGAAATTTTTTTGACGTATAATTTCATCTTTGTCACTTTTAGTTGATTTTAACTCTTCTTCTAACTTATCTATGATAATAGCGATTTTGATGTAAGTAAATGATAAATTTATACCTATATCATTTAGGAAATGGTATCTACTCAATTTCCTATCTTAACCAGCCTTGTATCAAAGCAGCTAGTGAGAATAAATTTAAGAGCCGCTATCATTATAAGAATTTATTGAACACAAAGTTTTACTGAATTTCAAATTATCATCATGATATAACAGTAAATACAACAACAGATATTAATATAAAAATACTGTGGCAGCTTGGAAAATAATATGCATTCTGCTCATTAACTACTACCGAAAATATCGGCTACATTGCCATAACTCAGTGAGGCTATACTTACAAATCTTTTCGTTAAGGTTAGCTACAGTAGATTCTAAAGAATGAATCTTAAGGGCCATTTCCATTTGCATAGTTTTGTATTGCCTAGCCAAGTCTAAATTCAAATTTAAAAGTTACAGGTATGCTTTTAGCTAGACACAAAATAAGATAACTAGCTAGCACCTTAGTAGGAGGATAAACTAGACTCTCTGTTGAATTGGCATTAGCTTATATTAGATTGATCATATTACCTGATGTTAAGTCTAATTTTGTTTTCTTTTCTTCTTCTATGTCATCTTCAGCTGATCGCATTTTAACCTTCCAAATATCGGATGCTTCTTTGGCACGACGAGTTATCTCATGATGGCTAACTAGATATTTGCAATATGAATACATTTAAATAAATAGCCAATAATATTGACTAAAAAGGTAGGCCTAATTTGTATTGAAGGGATTGAGTTGCAATGTATACTAGAATTCTTTGTTGATAAAACAGAAGTTTATTATTACACTGCTTCTATATTAATTAAGAATGAATGGTATCAAAGACTGCATTGAATTGTAAAAAGGTTCTTATCGCAACATTTCATCTTGTATGAAAATTACCCAAACGAATCTTTAGCATCTCAATTTCTTTTAATGTTTTCTTATATTTTTCTTCAATGTTCAACCCATCGTCTAGAGTAAATTTAATAACATACTGTATTAGCCATAAACTACAGTAGTATGATAATAGCTAATTGCGATGTTACAGTCTCACTTAGTGAAATTATTAACTCGCTAAAAATTACCAATAAATGCAACATTAATTAAATCGACAATGACATTTTTAAATTAAAATTGTAAACTCAGAAGACTTGTATTCTACCAATTTGTAAATGTGAGATACAACGCATTAACATGTGCTCGAATCTATCATGTTGACGTTAAACAGGTCTTTTGCCTATTCGCTATAAGACGTTCTTGTAGAATAGAAATTAATGATTTCTTAGTTTTAAAAAAGACTAAGAATTACATTTATACAGTGAACTCTTTTTTCCTCCTGATAAAGATTTGATAGTTAATAGCCTAATGTATAAGAGTTGTTATTCCATGCTGCAAGTTTAAGAAATCAATAATAAGAGAACATGTTTTAATTGTCGTGCCATATTGTTATAAAAGCATTAATGTACGACATAATCGGCATATATATGCGAGTACGTCGTAAGTTATTTTTGACAAACAACTTGGTTTTCTTATTAAAGGCGTAACAATTAATGGCCGGACATTTAAAATTGTTAATTTATGCTGTATAATAATTAAAATGATTTCAATTATTGCAATATACTGTTGTAAAATACATTCAAATGCGATACAGCCTACACCTAGGTACGAATATATCGTAAATTGTGAGGCATTTTTATGCATTCAATTTCAACTTGCTATTTGAATTCATCAATGATACCATTGAACAATTTACAACATGCTATTGTATGTAAGTAAATTTCTAGTCATCATCTTACCTTTCTTTTTCTTTCTCCCTTTTCGTAGTTTTTGTTTTGGTGGCATTTTCAAACTGGATGTATTTGCAATTGGTGAACTATTTCTATTATTGACTCTATGAAAATACTTTCTTTAATTTATAATTTGTTTCTAAATTAATTACAGTTAATATTTATCCTAAAAGTTGTTATAGTAATATTATAGCGAAAGCAACAATATCGTACTACTATAAGCTATGCAATGTAGGGGAAATAACGATCCTACGACTAGTATTATTATAATCTCGAGCGTTTTTATATCATGCTTACGTTTTTATGGAAGTCAAATTATAAGTATAGCAGGTCCAGAGCCTTTTTACTCTACATCTGATGGGTGGACAGCGCCAGAATGTGCTAGTTATAAATTATAACGGTAGTTACCATGGCAACTGATATCCTGTATTCACATGAAAGGCTTAACGCCATCACTGTCTACAGTTTTTGGTATCTTTAGACTATAATTACATTATTTGCATTAGCCAAGACATAAGCATACAAATGTTGTCTTATAATTTTATGCCATACTGTGAATGATGATGAGCTTGAATGCACTGGACGGTTATGATCTATTGGTCAAGTATAAAAACTGCAATTTTGACAATGATAGTAATAATGATGATGATGGATCTTCTTCCGTAGCAATTATTATAGAACTACCGCTGTATAGTATGATAACTTTTATTTCAATGACTTAGTTTAAGAGATTTTGTACCTTTAGAAATTGATGTTGTAGCTGTGTCAATAAAGTTAGTGCCTAAATGTACTAAATTCGTAGTCGAATCGGTTTCATTGAATCACCATCAACATTGCAAATGCTATTACGCCATTTTAATATTTTTAAGTTATTGAGTGATGCAGTATGCCCCCGTTGGTTGCAGCTTATATTGTGCTTGGATTTAAATTATAATAGTAGTACAAATCATTTTGCGATTTTCAATTAATTGACTATAAGTAGCTAAGTTATTCTTACAATGACCATCTAGACATTTAAATGACATTCGGATTCTCTTGAAGATAATTAATTTGCACTGAAAATACGCGTATCCTAATTAATCTACTGTAGTCGGAATCAAGTCTATTCTACCGAATCATCATTAACGCTACTAATACTTTTTTTAATACTATGCATTACTGGATAATGCAGTGCTACTTGCCTTGATTGCGATTTATTTTGTACAAGGGTATATATTATAGCAATGCTTATCATTTTCCAATTTTCAAGCACTTGACTAGGAGTGGCTAGGTGCTATTCTGATACTGAATATCCTGTTATTTAAATTAAGGTAAAATTTGAATAAAAACACTATTTAATGACGGATACATCATATCGAAACAGCTTTTATTAAGAGCTTACAAATATTTTACCCCTATGATGCTCAATTATCACTATCCAGTATTTTTGAAATTTTTAATGCAATAGATGCAATTGTACGCGTATTTTTAGTTGCTTCTAAATCCATGACGCAGGAATTGCATAATCCCCAAGAATATCATGTGTTCAATATCATTTATTCATGAATTCAATTTATCCAGGTAAAATATTAATTGCGTGCATTGCCATTGGATCTGGAATCAGATAGTATGGAGAGCTTAATGTATGCTAATTTCGTATTCAATGTAGCCAGAAATGGATTTCTTACGATTTAAAATCCTTTTATAGCCATCATTTCCATCGTAACTACAACGTTGAAATGCCTCCTGCGCGGGCAATAACCTTGTAGGCAGGCTTATAAGAAGGTACTGCCGATATTCAATTGGCATTGAGCATCGATTCGTTGTAAAAGGATAGTGAACATACTCAATAACTTAGTGTATATCAGCAGTTTGTATTCCATTGCTGGGAATGAGATAGAAATACACAACCATTATAAATTGAGTGGGTTAAATAATGAGATAGAGACCGTTGGAGAGCAGACAGCCATTTTGATGCGATCGCTCTCATACAAAATAGACAATGGTACTGTAACGCCCTATAGGACTCTATAGTCATTGAGTAATAAATCGCTGTATGCTTATTCTGATACAAAGAGACTGACCACACTGAAACATATGAAGTGATGCTAGTGATTACTATCATGAACCAGAACGTTGAAGACCTAGGATTGCCTTAGCATGAAATAGAATAAATTATTGATCGTATAGCCTGCATCACTTCCAACCGCAAAATCCACATCTGGCCAACTTATCTTACTCGCTGATTAGTGGAGCAGTCTTTACAAATCAATTTATAGCCGCTTTAATTTAATTTAATACAGGATAAGTCTCTTTCCGATCGAATCCATTGATGGAGCCGTTGAAAGCAAGATTATTTTACTATCCAACGCTAATCTGGAATGTTGCGCGTAAAAGTGATGCAAGACGTTGGTATGATCGGGTAGATGAAAATATCTTAATTGGTGCACTTCCTTTCCGCAGTCATGCTAATGAGGTTTGCAACTTTAATCGGTATAACTAAAACTTTATTTATCATGAAGAATGATTGGAAATGATAGTAGTAGCTTAGAATAAAAGTTTTACTGTTGGATTCACTAGTGATGTTATAGATGATGATGGACGATTATTCCTAAGTTGATATTCGAAGTTGTATAAATAGCTATGGGCCTACATGCATTACTTTCACCTTTAACGTGTCCAATTCTACTCGTGTAAATCGTATCCTAAGGCAAAGAGTAAGTGTACTTGCTGTTTCATTGATAAATTGATCGTAATTACAGTTGGTAAAGCAAGAAAATGTACGAGGTGTGGTTACCATGAATGAGAATTACGAAACCCGCTTCGTATCTCCTAATCAACAGGTAAAATTCGGACCTGATATGTTGTCTCTCTGTTGAGTAAATCTCCGCGCTTTCGATGTTTTTATTTCAAAACTTGTGTTAGCTCGCTGTATATCTACGGCAGTAATAGCCGTTTAAGAGACATCAGAAATCATGTCATAAGATTGGACGGTTAAAAAGTTGGCTTCTGTTAAAATTTCGCATTGTACCTACATAATTTTCATACTGAATGCAATAGGTAGAATGATAAGTGTTCAATCGATACAACATCTACCGAAAGAGAATAAACATGAAGCATAGCATTCAAATATTGGAAATGAAGTTATTTAATCATGATTTGATCTGTCCTTTCACTATATAAGCCTGACTTGCCCTAAATACTGTATAGATACAAGTAGTACAAAAACTGTTGAATTGATGACAGCCTTATTTTTCTGATAATTCAATCAAGCTGAAATTAATTATCAACTGGGATAGCCTTTTGTAAACTCAGTTACTTAGTATATTCAATTTTGATCATAATTTTAAATTACATTGATTATCTTAACTTAAGCTTCACGATGCATGGAACTACTGCCATTCACAACATTAGTATATTAGTTTCTTATACTCGTAAGTACAGTACTGACAGTTGAGCAACTTGATGATTGAATGAACTGCGTTCAATAAATCAACTAGATACACTCACACCTACCCTAAAAAGATATAATTATCTTTATTTATGCTTCGGTATCATATCTAACCACTATCAACCACGATATTATTATATTAGCTCTTATAAAAACCAACAGCTGAGCAACTAAGATGATTTATTGAATTATATTTAATCAATCAGCTAGATACGTTTATATCTAGCCTAGAAAGATACACTGCAGTTATCTTCATTTATGCTTGAATTTGACGTCTTACCGCTATTGGCCATGGCATTAGTATATTAGTCCTTATAGATACTGACAGTTGAGCAACTTGGTGATTTGTTGAATTGTATTTAATGGATAAGTCAGCTGTACGCGTATACAATACATAGTCTAGAAATTTGTTTGTCATATCGCAGGAATATAGGCGTAAGTATCACGCATTAACCTTACACTGTTTATTTTTATTTTATTATTACAGGAATGGGGTGCGCTTGGTGTAAAGCAGCTCCGACTAAGTACCGTCGACTTTTACCAATCACCTAGTGTAGAGCGAGTAGAGGAGGCAATAAATTTCATTGATGATGTGAACAAAAATGGCTGTTCAGTGTATGTCCATTGCAAAGCTGGACGTGGCAGAAGTGCTACAGTTGTCTTGTGCTACATTATGAAGGTAGGTTATTTCTTACTATTATACTGAACTTAACACAATATTGATTGTTATTTGCATCATTAATTAATATTCTTCACCAATTCCAGCACTATCGCTACGATCCATTCCATGCTCTGCAATTTTTGAAGACTAAGCGATCACATATCAAGTTATGCGAAGCTCAGCAACTAACAGTTAATCATTATTACAAGAAATTATCTGAAAATTTAGAGAAACAATGTAATCCTCAAAACGCGGAGGAATAAAATTCCGACTACAATTATTGATTTTATAAATGTTTATAGTTCGGAAAGGTATGCTATATTAGCTGTACAGAGCAAAATAATAGTCATTCAGACATATAGTATTATTGTTGACTGCTGTAGGTCACTTTACGTGTTGTCAAGAAGACTATTTTTACACAGTGTATGGGCAACTAAACGATATATCTTCTGCAAATAGTCCGTTGACAGTTGTTATTGTAATTTTTCCTTGGAAGAGTTAATTTTTAAGTCAGATAGTTTCAAATGTAAATTATAAAGTCAAACTATTTCAGTACTCGTAGTATTTAATTATGCTATTAAAATAATCGAATTACCAATCATAACCCATGAGACAAATATAATTATTACATCACTGCTTTATGTACTGTCGGGGACATTTGCTATTTGTATACTTTACAATTTTCTTAATATAATCTTTAAATGAACACATTTATGATCATTCCGTGACAGCGCCAGGAGTTGGAGATCAATTGGAGAATATCAAACTTTTTCATAACTTGTACTATTTATTAATCTGCTAGAAATGAAATTATGGATAAATGCTGAAATATGATTTATACGTTTATTTACTATATACCTTTTATGATATTCCAAGAATCGCTATTCAACGCTAAGATCAGGGAAGACTGCGATGGCTTCAAATCTCTCAATTAAGCTCAACCCAATATCGAAATTTTATTGTATTTACAGTACTAATTTCTGATTACTAATAAAGTATATGCGTCGTAAATTATAACACAATATTTATCAGTATCCAGTGTCTATTTATATTAAGTAAATTCAAGGCATAGACAAGATATCTCGACTCCATTTCAACTTGATTTCACAAAGCGCAGAGATAATGCTTAATAACATTAACGCTATCAAAAATCTGTACTTGACAATTAGTATCAGCATGATCTTTAAACTCTGAAGCAACATGAATATGCTGGTAATTTCAAATAAGGACATTATAACATTCAGTACTATACATCGCGCAGATATAAAATACATTATAGACTTTATATAGCAACCGTTTACAATTAGAGCGATCTTGAATTTCTTAACAGTGATAAAAGTTATCAAGCAAATGGTAACGACGTAGCGTTTCTGCATCCAATAATACTCATTTTCTATATGTATAAAACGTACAACTCTATCTCTACGGCCGTACTATCAACTAGCGTTTTGCTAAATCCTATACTACAGTAAAATTTACTATACTTATACTTTCTTTCAGGTTCGAATTTAAGTTTTAATGCTAAACAGGTAAAAGTCTCATATCAATGCATACGCCAAAAAATCAACTTCGTATTGACAACAGTGTACTTAATAGCGGTAATTTTTTTAAAGCAACCAGTGCTAAAAATAGATTATACATTGATATTGTAATTTAAGATAAAGAAAAATAACTGCAATATCTTAATCACTTTCTGTAAGAGTAATAACTTCATTCGATCAGTTTTATGTCTAATGTGTTCGACCATCACAGTGATGGCCAAGTAATATTTAAGTTATATCACATATTATAGCTCTGTACACTAGCAGTAATAATAATCAATTTCTGTATTGCATTACTCTTGGCTAAATAAGAATAGCTGTAAAGTAACACCTTGGAGTTAAGTATTGATATGCGCCTACAAAGTAGGTGAGCGATTGTTTTTTGAGCCTATCGTCATCCGATACATCAGTGCAGCACAGAAACTCAGTTTAACAGTTATTATTATACGCACTAAAAATCGATACCAAAAAAGGAGTTTCTTTAATGATATTAGCATGAAAAATTGAATATTTGTTTGATAAATCATTTTTCCACCAAAGAAAGGGATATTTCTATGAATTAAATATCATAATAAATCAGTCGTGGATTCCATGCGGTAGTAATTTAATTACAGGCCATCAACCGATGCACAAGAGATAGCGGTACCACCGTTATAACCCTCAGCAAATTTCGGCCATCGGCTTTTATACCATTTATCTTCCATCGTATTATAGCATAAAACAGGGGATTCTGTATCGCTATTTAATAAATATAATCGATTATTGAGAGAAACTACTTGTTGGCGCGGATAAATCACAGGTGCATTAGCACAACATTGCCAACTATTTGTCACTGGATCATAACATTCAACACATTTAGTATAACCACTTTTAGAGATGCCACCAATAACATAGATTTTCTTATTAATAACGATCGCTTTATGACTTTCGCGTGGAACTTTCATATCATTTATATGTAGCCAACATTGTTGTGTCATATCGTAGCATTCACAGCTACTTAAGATACGCGTACCATCATGTCCACCAATGACGTAAAGTATACCTTGTAAGAAAGCAGTGCAGCTTCCACGTCGTTTCTCAGGTAGATCAGGTAATTTTGTCCACTGATTTAGCTTAGGATGATAGCAATCGACAGTAGCCAAATGAGAGAAGCCATTTTTAAAATTGTACCCACCAATAAAACAGATCCTATCGTCAATACATGCCATACTAAATTGCCATCGACAAGAGGGTAAGGCAGATATTATTGTCCATGATTCTTGATTAGGATCATAACATTCCAAATTTTGGCCTATTTCTGTTATCTCATCACTGGCAGGTGTACTACTAATGGCATATAACTTGCCATCTATATCACCAACTAAGGTGTTCAATTTCTTTTCAACCAAGCTTGGCATCTTAACCCATGTACGACTACAAATATTATATCGTCGACAGCAATTGGCTAGACTAGTACTACCGATAATGAAGACAGCAGATGAATAATGACGTTGTCCAGGTTTCCGTTTCTTGCGATTCGATTTATCACTTAAGTAATCAGCAATGCATTGAAAGATATCCGCAGGGCAATTTTTACGCGCAATAGAAACAATCTCTTCCTTACTTATATAGGAAAATCGTATACAATCCATAACAGCCGATAACGATGGATGGCGTTGTTGCCAATCATGCAATAACCATATAACAGCGGATCGTAAAACTTCTGCTTCTTCCTTGACGTGGAGGTGATCATTGCTGAAGTACTCTTGTACTTCATCCAATGACAACAAAGTAAATTCTTCTTCATCACATATAGCCGTAAAATGATGCCAACAATACTTACTAGCAGCATCGATAACAATTTGGCATTGATTAATACGAGCAAATTTCAATATACCTAAGCAATTTGATGGATGCAATGATAGTATCAAGTAATCACAGCATCGATTAATACCAGTTGAAATTTGTAATCGATGACATGCTGATAGCATGTCTGCAACATTATCATCGTCAATATGTAAGTCTATACCATAAGCTAGATCGATCAATTGATCCATAAGATTAGGCTGGATATCATCAATGTGTAGAACACCTAATCGACTTTCTACCATATCAGTATTAAACATAGCGAAGAAATAAGAGCTATAGGCTGCTAAAAGTACCCGATGAGCATAAATGGTATGGGTGTGGTTAACAATCACGGTCACATCGCATAATTCTTGTTTACATCTCATTTGCCTTAATGCTTCAAACTGATGCTTTAATAAATCCAACGAAAAACCATCATGAGCAATCCTATCTTCCATCTTAGCCATTAGGATAATCAAGAGTCAACATCAATCAGTTGAAAGAATCAAGTGATTGATTGTATACCTTATAAATTGGCTGTTCTTTGCATCAGTGTGAAAAATTGGGCAGCATGGCATCCATGCAATAATCAAGTCATAAAATGCGAGACAGTTTCAATCATTATATTGGTTTATGGTCAATAAGCACGTCGTCCCGAGAAACTTGTCAGTGCTTCTCCAGTACTATATCGCATCAAGGCACAAAAGATTGCTTGTAGTGGATCAGATTTTGCTGCTTTTAAGAGATTTTAGCTGTTATTGCGACCAATGTTGTTGCAAATGTCTTGTAGTCGAAGAAAATCTGGTTGGGCGATTTTCTCATCGTTTCCCATATCGTAGGCACCTTACTGTGCGGTTAGGAGTAAAATGACTATACTGTAGCAAGTAAAGTGCTGTGGATGTCTGCTTCGCTCAAACAGCACTGCAGCACTCACACCAGTATAGCATGCTACAAAAAAAAAGATTGCTTCTCTATCAACTCTACAGTAGTACATGGCACAGTAGAGTATTCTCAGGCTCGTGGAGCAAATCGGCATCCGATTGTTTACATTGATCATTTAATGAATTAATTAAACCATAGATTTATAAGCATGTAATTGGCCATTTTGGCTAGTATTAAGCTAATATTACTTGCAAGAGTTGTTGTGAATACTCAATTTGCTTTCTAATACGAATGGCATCCAAGAAATGCTTGAATACTGTATTGTTATGATATAATCTGACAGTTTGCATCGTTGGACAAATGTGTTGTATAAGCATTTTGGGAATGAGCACTTTCTCGAGTATGTCTCAGGGATACGTTAATTAATGATGATGAAAGGCTGCTCTACACAGTAGTGCTTAGTCAAACACGAATTTCTGACTTCATAGTGGATGCATGAATTGCATTTTGCACCGCTAATAGGAAGTACTATTGCTTCATCGACGTAGCTAGCGTAGGGAGCTGGTATTTAGACTATAGCTATTTATAAACATAGAGTTGAACCGTCGGCAATGGTACTTCCACTGTCATCTGCCGCTAGGCATTCTGCTGTGAGCTACCTTGTACTGTTGTCTGTCAAGTTTCTTAACCTCTTCTATTAACTTCTTGTAGCAAAGCTCTCCTACTAACATCGCTATGTATTGATGTCATAAATCCCTTCTATCCTCCTTTTAATAAGACTACGGTAGTACACTCTAATCTACATGGTAGACATACTACCTACCGATTGTGAAATCCAGAGACCTGCAAGTCTCTCATCTAAACCGAACTTTTGACAAATTTAGGTGAGAGGAATGGGAATCTAACGGTGTGATTTTATGCTAAGTTCATTAATTAGAGGAATTGGTGAATACTACCTTATTGTAGAACATCGAAGCGAGGAGATATTTTGTAGTGTAAGTGGATTGCATTCTAACAATCCACAAGTTCTGGCAGCTACCTCTTGTACACGGGATTGCACAGAAAGTCCCTCCATTACTTCGTCTGAGGTAGCGATCGGTCTCTGGAACTATAGTACATAACTTATAGACAAACCTACAATGGACTAAAAGATATAACATATACGTATACAATGTTGTACTGTGGCTTACATGCTAACAATAAATACTCATGCTGGTTAGTATAATATCGCAAAAATTGGATTAAAATTTTTAAAGTGCTAACAATTAACTTTCTCCATGTGCTTGGGTGGGTACTTAAACAGAATACGCAATTGATACTACAGTATACCGGCTACGACTAACGGTATAACTGAACTTAATTAGATCGAGGTGATCTACGTTATGATTAATTTAATTTGCTTGTAGCCTGCATGCATCCATGTTGCCATAATGACATACTAATACAGTAGTACAATGTGAAGAAACGGGAGTGCACCGAATAAGGAGTTTGTTTCACATACACACCTAGGTACGAGTATATCAAAGTGATTTAGGCTTACATTACAGTAAGTAAACTCAACTTGTTCAACTATTCAATAACTTTACAAGAACTTATGATTTCGATATCGACTGAAAGTGATATGAATCATATGATGAATGGCGATTGCTGTGCGATATATACAGTATGTGCATGACTATATTCATTTCCTAAACTGTTTTTACTAACGTCTGAAAGTCATTTAGTAAATTACCGTAGTAGCTGCAAACACAAACTAAATCATCATTACATTCATTGCATAATGTAAATACTTATTAAAGATGACGTAAACAAAAGATCGCCAAACGTTCACAGTATATAAGTGCTTATGTGATAATTTACTAGTTTGATAAACATATTATTTATTGATATCATTTTGCAGTATTGAATAATATAGATAAGTATCTACTGTACTTAATACCGATTATTTTATAAAACGAATATATATGTGTTTTGTATACCCACTTGATCAGAAAAAAGAAGTAATTCATCGATAACATATTTCACATTCACTGCACGTATATGATTATATTACAAAAAAATCGATGCTGCCATGTTACCAGCTGAGTGCAGGATAGAGTTGCTACTTCGTAATATATCTGTTTACATCAATAGCTTATCAAATAATGCTTTTAACTAAGTATGTATGCGGTACATTTACAAAATAATCAGACAAAGCGCTGCCTTCCTACGTATATTCAACTATTGTAGATACTGTACTGACAGATAGAGACTAATACGTATATACAGTATTTAAGAATCTATGAATACATAGGTATAAGAATTGACAGCGAGGAGAGTTCCATAGCTATAAAAATGACAACATTTGATTTACAACATGATATACAATATAAAATTAAAATAGTGGAATTTAAATTAATATCCAGTCTCACTTCAGGCACCGTTACAGTATGGTCACATTTTCCACATAGTAGAACAACATTGCTACTGTACATCGATGACAAAGACAATTAGATTGTAGCAAGATCAAATCAGTTACTATCGCAAAGATGAAGCCATTATAATAACGTAATACGATGATAGCTAATTCGTACGTGCTACGAATTTGAGCTTAACCTTTTAGGTTATCCACAAAACATTAGTAGTAATTACGATAGACATAATACGACGATATTTAGAAAACTAACGTCGTGGTAATATTATATTAGTATACTTCATGACGAAGATAAAAATCAATACTATGGATAAATCAGAAACAACAGCTTATAAGGTGCCCATATAATAATATACATTAAAAATAAATGCTTCAAAACAAATTTATACTGCATGAAATAAGCATAAAAATTAAGGAATATTCTATTATTTACAAATATGCAGGTATAATTCATAGTCCAGTGTACAACGATTACAACTGAAGCCTGGATAGTAACTCATTACACAATTTTCTATAACGCCAGTTATCTCCAGCTATTCTTCTCAACTTAAGACCATTGACTGATTGATCAGCAAGTGCACAAACCTCAATCTCGAGAATGATATCACCAGCTTTAACCTCGAATAAATAGTTGGTATGCTTATAAATTAACGATAGCCCGCAGTTATCGAGCATATTTTTAACCTCATTTTCTATCTCTTGTACCGGTTTCAAACTAGTCATATTCAAAGCAATCTCCGTCGGGAAAGGAGGTTGAACTTTTACCTCGTGATTCGATAATTCACTGAAGAAATTGAGTCCAGCTTCAGCAGAACTAATCCGATTGGCAATTGTTGAAAATCTCTCTGGATTACTCACAATAGGAGAATTTGGTTGATCAGATGCAGAATTCGTTTGATGATATCCTGCACGAGGATCATGCGTTGACGCAATCGTATAATGTCGTCTATGAGGTGATCCTTTCCGATCTGTAGTATTAAACTCTGGCGCGGATGCCGAAGCTAACGCATTATCATCCATAGCCACGGCTGCTAACAACTGAAAAGGGTTCGCATTTGTAGTTACCGACTGACTTGATCGGGATTGTCTATGTTGAACATTATGATTATTTGCCAGAGCATGATTAGGTGGTACCGAAGCATCTGGAGATAAAGCAGGAGCACTAGTTGATGACTGTACATTTCCTTGTACATTAGACAAATATTTAACGCCACTATTCATTATATTGTTGCTATCTTGTACCATCGCAGTAGCATCCTCTAAATTAATTACAAATGATGCAGGCGCAGGACCAGGAATACTTACGCTTTCGGTTTCAGAAGTAAGTTGCACAGGTTTGTCGAATACTTGTGGAGGTGAGCCTTGAACCGACTGCAATTGTAATCGTTGCATTTTGCTATCGATGTATGACTGTTGATCATTATATCCGTATTTAGATGGAATCGATTTCTGACGCTGCAATTGATATTGCAAACGCAAACGCTGACTTGCTTGTTGATTCATATTTTGTAAAATTATTTCACGTTGCTGTTGGTAAGCACTATACAATGGCGGTTGTGGGCCTTCCATGGGTTGGCCGGAAATACTAGGACACGGAACTTCAGATGGGATAGCTTCAGATACCATTTCTATATGTCCTTGTTGTATAACTTTTAACTGATCGAACTGCATCGGCCCAGGATTGGTATTTTGCCATGAAGAATTAACGACATCTACTGATAACCTCTCACTACTATTACTGTATGATACTGTCTCATTATGTTCATCAGTACCTGATAAACTCTCCTGCAAATTTGATACATCAGTCTCCACCCTTTCAGGACTATTCCGGAATCCGCCATGATTTTCGTATTCCTGACTACTCCGATAATCTTCTTGTATGTCCATCGCTACTGTTTCCATCTGCTCGGAATCATTGTTATGAAATGGTTCGCTAACATTAGGCGCAAACTGATTTACCTCTGTATTAACAATTCTAATATCGTGGTTGATAGTAGATTGCAGAGCAGATTTTTCAATTTGTTGTTGTAAATTTACGCATTCCTTATAGAGTTCGTTATAACTTACATGGCTTTTAGGAGACATTTTATCGACAATAAACTGTCCCTGTGTAAAACTATCTGATGACCGTCTTACGGGACTGTATCTACCGGATCCTATAGCAATTCCGGTTCTTTCTTTTCCAGATTTTTTACCATTACCCAGTCGGTGATAGTTACGAAAATCTCCAGTAGCATTAGGAACAGATAAGGTATGTCGTTTAGTTCGCCCGCGATTACGTAGATAAGAATTAACATCGGATGCATCCGGTTCCAGGTCTTTTGTATTATTATCTGTTATATCTTGAGAGCTATTGCTTGTTTCTCCACTAGCGATGTCAGAACCACTCTGACTATTTGGCATTAAATTAATAGTATCCACCAACGGATATGGATACAGGTATGGCTGATCTGATGGTTGTGAAGGTGATGACGAAGCTACAACGTCATTATCAGCACTAGGCGGAGATACTTCAATTGGCAATTCTACCTGAGGTGGTACGGTAATTGTATGGCGGCGTTCAAAACTATATGAATTACTTGGAGCAATTGCTTGAGTGGCATTTGTATAAAAGACTTCGTTGATATCGGGTTGGATAACTTCTTCAATAGTAACATCAGTCTGCTCTGAATGTAGTATAGATGTTGATGGCACCATATTATCGGCAGTCACAACATTGGAATTGTTCGGATAGCTACTTCCAGGATTGATGACACCACGCCATGCTTGAAGTTGCCTTCTCAAAGTGTTAGCTGACGTACTAAAGTCCGATGTATTATCAGGGCGATAATATGAAGATTGGTCAACGTTTCGTTTTACGAAATTATCCTGACGAAAATTCTGAGTATCTACAAGCCGAGAATGTTGAGGTTGTTTAGGTCTAGTATTAGAGGCAGCAGCATAAGGTAGATTGTTGCCAGTAGGTATTTGCTCAATAGTATTTAAATTTCCGAGCACAGGTCTGGCAGATAGACCTTGCCAAGTTTGGAATACTTGATCTAGAGCTGGAGAATAACGCTTTTCGCTAGATTCATTACGACTACGTACATTAGATGCAGCTTGTGTAGCAGCAGAATCAAAGGATAATGCTTTAGATGGTGATTTTCGCGCCACGTTCACTGTCCGTGGAGTTCTTGGCTCATGCGGTGAGTATCCACCAGTTGACCAATTCAAATTATTGATCTTTGTTTGATATGAATCTACATTTTGTGGATACTGTGGTGAAAGACTTGTCGTATCCGTTTCTGTCTTATGAGGATTAGCCACTGGCCAAACATTAACGTTTTGCCGTGGTAGCTCTGGATTTTGGGAATTTACTCCAGATTTCATAAGATACATTTGTGGATATATTTGCGTTGGTTGCTGAGTGATTGTACGTGGCGGCTGTTGAGTAATTATGTGTGATGCAACTGGTGACTGTTGAGAAACAGCATGTGATACTTGTTGTGTTATAGCTAATGAAGAAGTTTGCGTAATTGTATGAGATGTCTGTTGGACGTTAGCTGCATTGGCAGTGATATCTAAATTTGGTTGTTGTGCTGGAATTCCACGAGGTAGATTTGTATTAAAATGAGAAACTATAAAATTTTTAAATAGAATAAATCAGAAATACGTTAGTGATTATGGTTTTTTATCAAGTAACTGATCATAATGTCATCTAATGTGCAATCTGGGATTAAATATTCACCTTCCATTGTAGTTGTATTAGAACTGTGTTGATTAGACATAATGCTAACAACACCAGTTGGCGATCCTAAATACTGAGAATCTCCCAACACCTGATGAGGAGGATACTTTGCACTATTGGTTGAATTTTTAGCAGTCTCAAAGTTCGGTTTGGAATTTCTATTCTTTGAAATACTTGACGTAGCAACAGTCATTGTAGCATTGCCTTTTAGAGAAGCTTGACGTTGTTTATTCGCAAGTAATAATGCGTAGGTTCCATAAATATGGTCAAATGATCTATTTTGTAATGACTAACAAAAATTTCATAGAATTAGTTAGAGAGCAGTAGCGATACTGAAATTTAATTACATAGTTCGCGAAATCATCAATCATATCAAAGAACTTACTCTTTTAGTATCTTCTCGAGCAATATTTAATTTTTCTAATTCTACTAGAACTTCTTCTACAATATTTTCAGCAATATTTCCTCTCTTTTCTATTATCTTAGGAATTTCAGAATTTTGCGGCGCCAATTTTAACCATTTATGACGTTTTATCTGTTCTATAGTATATCGTTTTACGGGATCTTTGACCAGCATATTACGAATTAAAGATTCACAGTCTAATATAATCAACGATAGAGAATTGCAGACTTAACAGCTTGCCTTTACTGCTAAGATCCTTACAATGATATACGTGACATTGCAAGTAAGAGAAAAAAAGAATTGACAACTTTGCGTGATTGATACCTTGCGACATAAAAAATGGGATACGATAGTGTGCGCTTAGAACGCGCATTCTTAAACGGGCTAAATTTGATCCGTCGAACGGTAGTGCACCACTTACCAAGACGTATAGTAAAACGCCAAGACTCTACAATTTTCATAACGAACATCAACAACATTTAGAACTATGGCATACACAAATTGCGATAGAGATCAGCAACTAGTACTGATAGTGTTGAAATTTTAAACTTATTATGGCAATGCCAGCCTATTTACAATTATACATAGTTCTTAAGCAAAGACTATAAACATTCTTAGTGGCTGCATGGTATCAAAACTTACTACAACGTAAGTAACAAAAATATAAATACTCAACAATCAAAATGTAAACTAACTTTAACAGAGTATTACTAGAACATGAAAAAGTGTATAATTAACATCTGATCAAGTTGTAACTAGGAAAAGGCTTAAAGATATTTTTCCACTGACCAATATTTAAGATATTACTTCACGATGAATTTTAAGTCAATAGTTACCCAAATATCAGTTTTATAGCCATCATACTCTTTCCCTTCAAATAATTCTGGGGCAGCATAAGGTGGGCTTCCACAACATGTTTTCAAAAAATTCTTTGGCCGGTAAAAGTTACTAAAACCAAAATCTAAATTTTGGTTCGTAAGTAATACAATTATAATAAATCTTAATAGTGATCAATTGATTGTAATAAATTCTTAAAATTTCAATAGTTCTAATCTATCATTAACAATATTTTATAGTAATGAAAGGATAGTAATTTAATCAGGAAGTGCAGCAACGTACCTGCTAGTTTGATATTCATATTGGCGTCGAGTAACAGATTTTCGGCCTTCAATGAATTTTACATAGAATTATTTACATGATATCATGATTTTTTATTAGGTTTAATACATCAATATTACTGTAGATAATTTTGAAAAATAAGGAATGCTAGCGATGATTTTAATGTCGTCTTAATTGGTAATATTAATTATAATTAATAGTACCACAAAGCTAACGAATAAAGTGCACGCTGATACTAGTTTAATGATATTAGGAAGACCGCAAACATGCTTTTCGGTATTTTTGTATCGTATTAGTGAAATCGATTGTCCACGACTACAAAAAGAAAGCGTGCAATCTAGCAAAGTAATTACCTTAATATCACGATGTACAATATGATTTGTATGGCAGTATTCTATAGCTGATAAAGTCTGCTTAAAGATCCTAGCAGCTTCTCTTTCCGGCAAGCGACCACGAGACACCAAATATTCTAATATGGAAACAAAGTTGTGATAATTGTTAAACAGTGCTAATAATATTTTAAATACCACAATAAATGAGGTAAAATAACGAATTGTACTATGCGAACTATAGATATCGATTAGTTAATTGCTAACATAAATCTCTACAAACATTGAATATCCAAGAGATTATTGATATAACACACAAACGCTTACCGAATATCTCGCCACCACTCGCGTATTCGGTGACAATATATAAAAACTGGCTACTTTTCATCACCTAGATAAGAGAAGGATACCATCAAAATTAAAATCTTTTAAAGCAATAATATAAAGATAAGTCATTATTGCAAAGCAGATTTGGTCTAGAAATGCTATCATTTACAAACCTCAAATAGTTGAATAATATGGGGATTATCCAACATCTTGATGATGTGAATTTCACGTAAAACTTTATTTAAGTTATCTTCATCTAGTCTCGTTTTATCAACGATTTTAATTGCCACCTAGAATATTTCGATACAATGGATAAAACGTATATCATTAGCGTAAATTCTTTTTATCCTACTAAGTAAATGAATTTGCCTTGAGAGAATTCGTATCTCACAATTCATAATAAATATAACCTTGGTTCTACTCTTTTTGTTGTTATCACAATATCACTAATAGACTATATTATAATTAGGATAAATAACGTAGAATTAAGTTTTCCACAAGTATATGTTTTAGAAGTAGAGCGATAAGTGGACGAGACTAGTAGATATCTTGCGATACTCTATGGCCAATTAATGAATTATTAAGCCTTTTATTAGAGTTATGGAGAATTGATGTTTTTCAAGATACAAAACCTGATGATTTTGAGAGTTGTTATATGGGTAATCGCTAAACATAGATTAATCAATGTGAAAGCTTTCTCTATTAAGTAAAACAACCGTTTTCAACCTTTATTTATAGTTCATTTTAAAAGTTATATATAGTGAAATGGGATTTTCTTTTATTGGAATCATATTTTGATTACGAAGTTATAAATTAAATCATGAGCACGTTGCCTATACTAACAGATTCAATAGAGACTAGTATCAAAAAGACAGTCCTTCGTCACTATTTTTTATTCGAGAGAATAGAACAGGGGCTATCGTTGAGACAATCCATATGCTAGCTAAAAGGAACTATGTTACTACTACATTTTCCACATGAGTAACATTGGGTAACTCAACATGATACGAATGTTATTTACGGCTAAATCTTTTCATTTCATTTGAGTAATTATTTTTTAGTATGAATAATAACAATCGATCCATGTCTCAATCAACTTTGCAAAGTTACAAAGGCATCCTCCTCTCATCACCTGATACTATAAGGGATTGCAAATACACCAAAATTATTTTCTACGGTACCCCTTTGATTTAGTGTATACGTGTATATATATATATATAGCTATCTCTTTGATACTGAAATAAGTTAGAAGGTTGATTTGACTCCAACTGTCCAATTATTTAGACCAAAAAGCTTTATATTTTTAGCTTTTCAATGTTAGCATCGAGGGCGGGGGAATCTGAATGCAGTAACTTGTAAGTACAGTATGTCATTCCAATTCAATCAAGCCAAGTACTCTTGTATACTTTAAAAACTTAATTAAATCAATCAATAACTTAGTCGTTTACCCTCTCTCTGAAGCACTCAATCATAACCGTTGAGTTTTTCTGTCCTCTACGTTATACGTTTAGATGAAAAAGTCGGGCAAAAATTTTAACAACATGCAGTATTACCTAGATTGATACAATGGCAATACTATGACATTAGGCATTTCATCAATAGCTTGTGTATTGGATACAATAATCATCTTGAGAGGGGGCCCCTGTTGCTGAATCGAAAATCACCTTTGGACAATAAAAGGCTCGTTTACGAGCTTACGAAGTAGGATTTAATAATATGATTGTGAGAGAGTATTGTAATCATTGTTATATCGTCGAGAGAATCACGTAGAAATGATAAAATGATTATAATCATGGAATATTTATTTTTAAATCCCCAATGACGAACTATCCACGTAACTACTGTCAATTGAAAGAAAAGTATGAAAAAAAGCAGTTATTATTGCTGATTTTTTTAATCGACTAAGATAAAAGGTAAAAAGCCCAAGATGGATTTTTAGGCATGATGTAGGTAATTTTCATAATGCCTTGGAATCCATGTCTATTTTTTCCAGAATGAACAAATGTGAACTTCATTGATGACAGACAGTAGACGTATACTGTATACAAATATATATACGCATGTGCTTGTACATCCGTTATTAATCTTCAACGAGCGAAATTTGTAGAAGAGTAGAATACTCTTTTAAGTAAATAATTATAATGGTGTACTTTAACCAGCGTGACACATATACAATCGCATTAATAAGATTTGATATTACAAAATCATTTTCGTGGTCATGATAATTAATCAGTTATTTACTGATATTTAAGTGGACTCATAATTGCAGAAACTAATCTCTCTGTTAAGCGATTGCAACAGACTATCAAGTATTACAACGAGCTGCATCAATAAACTCCCATTGCCAAGGACACCGGAAAGAATTTTTAGTAGTACCTGTAACGTTACTTCCTTAGCAAATAGAATCTCCATCATACAGTACAACCACTGGCTGCTTAGATGCTATCGATAGCAAAATTGCAGCGCACAGTCGATTAATACTAGTATCCATAAAGTTGTATCGGTTTGCCATCGAACAGTAATGAAAACTATTGCTCAACTGATTGTATCGCCAAATATCTTGCTATCGCTAATTCTTGTAGGTATATACGTATCCTTTGTAGGATAATATTCATTAATTAAAAAGGAGTCCATGTTATTGATTTTAGGAATTCAATGCTTAGATACAGTACAAAACAGCCTGTATTATTTTTTACCAGGAATATCTAATAAAAGAAAGAAAAATAACAAGAGGTACCAGATGATACTGTAGACTCAGTGACTAGTAAAGAAAAAATTTCTCTTTCATCTCTTCTGCTGATGATAATTGTTAATCATTAATCAGACAACTCTACACTGTGCAGTACGATGTATGATTTTATCAAAGGGGATTGATTCAAGTCATCTTCGATATACTGTAACATTTAGTTTGATTTATCTGTCTTTAATCACAGCTTTATCACTACAAAATTACTACACACTAGATACTTATTCAAAGCTCGCATACCTCCCTCTCTTATTATTATGAAGCTCTTTCAGGCAATACGTATTCTCCATTAACTAACTATTGCATTAATTTGATACCATCCCGCTTATTGAATGGCTCTTGGCATAAAAAATAAAATGAATCCATGTTGGTTAGTCTATATATTAGGATATAGCCATCCATTGCAAGTCTATATGATATATTACAAGGACACTTTCTTTAACCACATACTCCGATTAGTCAGTTTCATTCTCCAAAAAAAAGATCGTCAATACTTGTACATAAGCACTGTATATGGAACGATGCAAAAATTAGCTAATATTGACGACACCAAGAGTGGATAACACAAAGACATCCTTTTCTTGATCGCAAGCGTACTACTGTAGTAGCAGAAGGGATTATTCTTATTTTTTCTTGTTGAGAGACTCCATAGTCGATGATCACATTTGGATTGTATTCCAATGTTGTAGCTAATTGAAATTCATGCTACCTTTGTAAGTAAGTTTGCTTCGATCATCTTGTTGAAAATGTCTTGGGCAGAAAAGCCTTCGATTACGTCATCTGCGGTGAGATGAGTAAACTAGAGCAAACTGTGGCAGCGGCCAAAGAAATATTTGACGTAGATATACAGTATCATGGACTGTTAAATACTTCGTGGGAAGTAGTTAGTAGTCCATGACAGTACCCATACGCTTATTTTCAGATTTTAATGGACACGGGCTGGGCAATGGGCAGAATGGTCGATTAAAGTGTAGGCAGAGCAACTAAAATGGCCTCATGCAGGACATTGCAGTGTCCGCTTGTTTATGTAGTACAGTATATAGTGCATATGTATAAATGCGAAAAGACGATTATCATCGATGCTGTTCTATATGTAGGCAGCATTCCCTAAAACGGTGTTGACGACTATAGTTGACTAATAAGGAAAATAACGAGAATGTTGATAGAAAGTTAATCAATAGCTAAGCAATAGGATGCGATGCAAGCAAAGGAATGTTGCGATTCAAGTATCACGTAGTCAATCGCCTTGAAATAAATGGAAGTTTTGACATTACCTTACAAAAAAAATTGGATAGGATTCAGGCGTGTTAACAATTCGACATAATAACATGAATACTTTGGTTTATGAAATGTAGACAGTATCGGTCCATTCACAAAGATTGTCCTATCCACTATTTAACATTGTGCAATCAGTTCTACCTCTTTATTATCGATTTATTCAGTCGAATGCAAGCCATCCTAGAGTAATGGAAATGACTTACTTCTAATTCAATGATAGCGCTCCGTTTCAATCACTCATCGACTTAGTATGATGGCGATAACCATTCTCATTTTTTTTGGGGGGGGGGGGATCACATACGAGGTGAGTCCATTTTAAAATGATAGAACAGTAATCATTCGGTAACGATTGATGTCTATGAGATTTAATCTGTTCTGTTAGCCATCACGAAGGAAACGGATCGACTGAAGAAGATAACAATCTTTCCTTGTTGCTAAAGACATACTGCATCATTCATAGATCGCTATTTCTCGATGAAGGATGGCCCTTCCCCCCTCTATTACCCTTGGAGAGCGAGCTACGATCCAAAGTAGATTTATTGGCTTGGAGATCAATCTTTTTCCAACATTGACTAGCTTTGATGGCATTTGTAAAAGAATGTATTTTAATCCAGTAAAGTAGGTCGAAGCCACACAAGCAAGAGTCCATCCAGTAACATACATGATCGAATTGTAGTTGTATCTTGTCGATGCTATTCCCTATAAAAGTATGACTATCTACCCTAAACCGAAAACGAAATGCCGATGTCATGTTGGTTACTATAAATCCGGTGTCGCATCGGATATCCTCAGTAGTAGAATGTATGGTAGACTGTGTAGGACAGCGGTTGATGCCCTATAGTAATGGCTATGTTAAGAAACAGCGCTATCCAGAGAAAATGATTGGACATCATAGCGCACAAAATAATATAGTAAGACCCGACTACAAGTTTATTTGCAGTTGGCTGTCAAGAAAAAAATGAATCGTAGCCGTTCCTGGTGGAGATAACCCTTCTGAAAAGAGTGGATAAGCTCCAGTCAATGCTCACACATAAATTGTATTAGTTGATCGATGGAAGAACGATATTCTACTGAATAGACGGTAGAGACGCCATTGTAAGGGATGTCCATCATCACTCTAACTGATATTGGAGTTGTTTCAACTCGCTCGCCAATGGCATTTCGTCGTCACTTGATCCAATCGCAGTCATGCTCGTCTATTACTAAGCATCATATTTATCATCGGTTTATACCTACAAGACGATCAACTACCTATTGCTGGAATGGCTCATCTGATATCAATGTCAACGTGTAAGATAGTTGGAAAAAAAGCATCGCTAGTGGATGATTGGATCCAACGTTTGATCGTTTTTGTGCCGATGATGAGTGAGTTCAAGTTCTTGGGACCAGCACCCTCCCAGCGTATGCCTCCAGTATAGGCCGTACTAGACGGTACAGCCTATCATAGAGTACATAGTACAACAGCAATGGACTCATCATCCACTATCCACGAACATGGTTGACTTACTTTACTCTTGGTCGGTATGTGGATTGCCAATTTGACCTCGGCGAAATTTCCTTTGCCAATCGTTCGTTCTAAACGATAATTACCTATCACGATGGGTTTTTTACTGGCGTTTTTAGCCAAATTGTCCATTGTGCGTTGTTGTAGACATCGGTGGCTCCAGGGCCTGCTTGTTTCCGTTACTACATGTAATATCCAAATGGAGGCGAAAGAAAAATACAAAACTGTAAATTAGTGGTTGGAAATGGTTGAACAGAACAATATGACGGACGTACAGAGCGTACGGACAGCTCCAGCGTTGTGGCACTACTGTACTGTACTGTACAGTACATACAGTCTACAATACTGTACTGTACTGTACAGTACTACTAAAGAGAAAACTCAAGACCTACAGTACAGTACAGTACAGTACAGTACAGTACAGTACAAGAGTTGGATACTGTACACTGTAGTCTACAGTACTGTACTCTACTCTACTCTACAGCTTATGTCATGCACAGTACTGCACTGTTCTCGAAGTCTGATACTCTATGCAATGCAGATCTACAGGAACTTAACAAAATAGACGACCATTTTCAAATTAATTAATTCAAAATTGAATTGAAAATCATTTATTTTTCTTCCGACCTATAATAAGACGAGATTCCCTTAGTGACTACGCTTATATTCTGTTGTGTTATCTATAGTACAATGAGTCGATGGGTTCGTTAATTGAATGAAAGAAGCTAGCTCACCAACGGATACACACGCTTATTAATTAATTAACGAACAGCGCCTATGTTGACAGCATCAAACCAGCAACATGAGCGAAAATTCCGTAACTCCATATTGGATTACATGGACAATATTGTACATGCTGTGCTATAGGTTGGCTAAACTTGGCAACAGATTGTATCTTTGAGAAATGGAGAGCATACCACAGTTACCTACGTGTATTGTACCTTCATGGATAAATTGGTAGCGCAATAATACTGACATTACAGTACTGTACTTGGAGATGGGATAGATCTCATACGCTGTCTGTTTACAGTATGCAGTCTCACAACCTCTTCCTCAAGGAAGGATTGCTACAGATCCGATCGTAACTTTCAAACGCCACTTCTACTACAAAATGTGTACATATGCGTATAATGATCTGTGTTAGACTGTATGGACAGTAGATCAAAAATGAATTAAACATTGCAGTAGTGTCTCGGAATAATTGATAATGCAAATCTTGTGTAGGCAGGCATACGATTGGTCAAGCTCCTCAAACAAATGACGTATGTTATCAATCTGTCATGGCTGTCATTGCTTGCACTTATTTCGCTGGAAATGGATTACACAGCAAGGATAGTATTCCTATAATATGGTCACCGTGAGCGTTATGATTTTCTAATGGATAAGCTTACCAAATGGGTACAATATAGTATCGTATAGTGCATGCCAGTCATAATACTGTATTAGACTAGTGCAGCAGCTATGACAGCATTGGAAACGAATTGAAATTTCCCAAAACATCCACTACGGTAATCAGTTCAATTCATAGGTTAATTCAAAACTTGCACTTCTCCACTGCACTGATACCTAGCGACACCATAAAATAGCGCACAAAATGAATACAGATAACCATTGAAATTTTACTCTGTTAATACTATTTTGTGCACCATCATTGACTTTTTTCCATTCGATTACCGCCACTAAACTTACAACAGTCCCTGCACAAGTAGATGCAGTGCATACCCATATACGCGTACTATGCAAACAAGTACCATAATCTACGATCATTCCATAGCCAATCAATCAAGGCTGGGCTTTACCCTTCTCTAAGGGTCTCTAGTGGGCTTTATTATGTTGCTATTTGTTTATTTATTTGTTACGATACAGTGTGTACTTTTCCAAAAAAAATTATAAAGATTTATGGCCCATATGTATAAATTGTCCTTTACCCTTTTCCCCAAGTGAACTGTTGCAATATCGTTAGTGTAACGATTCAAATAGTAATCTTTAATCTGATCCCTGACACGCGACTAAGCTATAAGTAGATCCTACGTTAAGTCAGTTATGGAAATGCATTCAAACTTCATCTTGAGTGGAATGAATTTAAATAGACAAGATTCGTTACAGTATCGTAAAAAAAAAAAACACTATAGTACAGTATGTAGGTTTATTCAGTAATAAAATTAACCTTCACCAGTACGTGAACAAATAAATCATTCGATATTGAAATAGATTCTTACCGATCATGGTATTTGATGGTAGAATTGTACACCGCGAAAATAAGACCAATCAATCAAACTACAGACCGTAATCCACCCAATCTAGAAAAGAGTTATTAACATTTTAGCATTATATAGTGTCTACTTAAAGTTGCCGCATTGACGTATATATTGATTACGATAAGAAAAGAGGTAAATTATTATTATTAAATAAAGCAAGATTCTATCATGCAATGCAGTATAGTAACTTTACTAGTGTATTCTTAAATGCTTTACCATAAGTCAAAATTTGTAATACTACCGTATATTGCCACAACATATCTACTATATCTATATAGCATCAAATGAGTGAATCAATAATCATAATTTTATCTGGCTAATTAGCGACATAAGAAAGCCACCCTGTCGATATCACTGACAGCTATTACAATACCTAGCAGGTAATCGTATTTTATCACAACAAACGCATAAGATTATACCTTAAATTAACTAACATTTTAAAATTATTAGAGAGCTGTTACGAAGTTAGCCGATCCCTGCCAAATGAGCGGCTTACCTACTGATGATCTACAACAGAGTTAAGGCAAACTTAACTGTAGTTTATAGTAGCTCGCAAAAATGGACAATGTCCGTTAGTTTAAGATAATTTATTAAATCGATAACTGTGGAAGATATCCCGCAATGATCAGACGACGGTAACAACGACAACACACGTTTGCATACGATTGCACTGTGATATAGATATGCTGGAAATAGTATGGCACAATACTAAAATACGGACTACATACTTTGTTTGATAAGACTATGATAAACTAACATGATAAAGTAGTATTACGATAAACACATTCCTTACTTTTACTTGATACGTGTGTAATAGCGTTTACTTACATTTAGCTAATCTGTTTATTCTAGCATATTGACCATCTTGATACAGCGAAGAAGAGAATTAAATGACGCAAAAAGACGTAACCGCACCTTCTATAAGTAATCAATCAATATGTCAATGACGTAAAATAGTAGCTGTAAAACAAAAAAGTTATGACGTCTTTCTAAATGTGTCGACTTTATACGAAGATTGGATATTGAACTTTTGTTGCATTTCCTCTATATGAAAGACTTCTAACAATGGATTCTTCACGGTACCATTTCAATCAGTAAACAGACAATAAAAATATCCTAAATGCTATGAATTAATAGCAATTAAAATGAATAAAAAATCTACAGTATGCGTTTTGACTAACAATGATTACACTCTTTATGATAGTAACTATATTATTGGTTGTCGCTTACATTATAATTGCAAAAGTAATAGTAGAAAGATTACTTATTTTCATTACATTTGCTAATTTTGTGAACTCAATTAGAGTGGAAAAAATCATAGCTATATGCGATATTTGCTATCGAATGGAAGCAATAATGTAGCTATTAGATCACACCTTGAGAAATAGTAAAGTCAGAAAGTGAGACTGCTAAACTTGAAATATTTTGATCGTAACCGATACAGATGACAACTACTTGATTTAAGCTGTGATCATTAAACTGTGTGTTGTGCTGTAATTGGCATTTTTTCCATAAAATTCGCGGGTACTATACTGTAGAAACAAGATAAAAGCTTGTTACGTTTTCAAAGGTAACGAATTTATACTGCTATCACAGCAGAGTAGCATACAAACACCCACAATTAACTACTGTAGGCCAAGCGACTCATTCTCTTGTTGTTTCTAGACTAGCCATATTAATAGAGAGTGCAGCATTATATTATCAATGCTATTAAATCATCTTGATTATATTTGCCATAAAAAACAGCACAAGTCGATATTTCAGGAAAATATCTTGCAAATTATTAAAATTGACAAAAAGACACTTTAGATAGCGCTTATATAAAGATAAAAAGGTTACGTTATCATGAAAATGTAACAGTTTTATTAATTATAACTGAGTACAATAAGGATATGAATATAAATTTCCCAAGCTAGCGATCATTATTGATTCCGCATCACATAAAAGAAAAAAACAGCATATTAATACTGTAACGCTATCCGTACTATATTCCATTTAATGGTCCTATTGAAGTGTTGGATATCATTGATATTATACCATTACCATGGGAGTAATTAGCTCCAATATCGATCGTTTAGATGTGAAATTACAGATGCATGAGTGTAATATCTCTTAAAAAACAAACTGATAGCTAGCTGATCATTGGCCAAATAATCTTCTACAGTTGTTCATTACAAGTGTGTCCGTAAGTAATGGCTTTTAAAATCAAAATGTACAAAACTGGTATTTACCATTAGCATATTATATTTGACCATATTAAGCAATTGTTATAATATTATAATTATTAATTAATTATATTCTTCCATTCTTCGTTGTTTATCAGTTAGCATCAATATGCCAGCTATTTCTTATAATCTCTGTCGTTAATAATGAGTAATAGTGCCAATTATATTGCTGTAGTATGATATTGTTATACAGATTTTGCGTTCTACGTATACGAAGGCTGTTTGTTTAAAGAATACGTTGCGATATACTATTTGTGTTAGAATATTGTAGCAGTATAAATTGTATGGAAGCGAATTTTCCCCCTCTTCTTCGTACGCCATCAACATGCCATACAGCTTGCTTAGCCAGTTTCTAGTGAAGTTTGTACATTCGCGACACTCCTGCTAATCTGTAACAAAAAATAAATCAATTCATTCCTGTTAATACCGTGCCTAAGTAGGCTTACGCGTACAGCGACTTCTCAAATTTTTTTTTTTTTGGGGGGGGGGGTAAAAAAATTGAACAGTGCCTGACGCGTATAACTAATTGTAGTATACGGGTTATTAGCCTTAGGTTGGTAATCCGCCAACTCAAAATTCTGAGTTGTTAAAATCGAGCAAATCCCTAATGTAACACAAAATAGTCAACACCGTATAAATTGACTTATAACAGTTAAGTTTATCAACATCCGTGTGTCGTCCGTCGGTGAAGAATTCCAATATCTTCCCATCATAATAACAGTCGAAAATGGTAAGATAAACCGGCTAATCAACTTAGCCTCCACGATAACAATTTTAATTCTATACAACTTATACAAATTATCACTAATCGCTCCTCTACATAGGAGTCATCAATCACATTAGTGCATTGCTTAATAACATTAATTAATATGGCTATCAGCTACGGCCTTACATAGCACATACTATACTGTATATTTGCCGTTTCATCATACTAGCCTTATCAACTCTTGCTTTATCAAGACATACTGTTTAAATAATAAAATAATAATTAATAATAGATTAGTTGAGCTCGTCAGCTTCCAAGCCAGCGCTCACGGTTCCGTTGTGTTTCCACTCTTAGTTGTTAACGTTGGTACGAGGGACTTTGATACACTTCTCCTAGTAGGCTTACTAGAAATCACTTTTTATTTAGGATTTACTGCATTTAAATATAGCTGAGATAAGCAGTAAATTGCAATAAAATTCAAATTTCCTGTATTTTTAGTATATTAAATCTTAAATCGATAGTGATATGAATCACGAAAACTTTGCGCAAGAAATAAATCTCCTATTTTATTAGCGTAATACTCGTAACTGAGCGAAGTCATCAGCAAATCCCTTCCAAAACTATTTTAGTAATTTTTAGTAATGACTATAATATGATAATAATAAGCGTGCATTTCCATGTTCAGACAGTTTGACATATGACTCCGGTCTGACTTATAAAGCCGCTCTGTAAGCAATTAAAATGGAATCATGCCCAGAAGATGATTCAAGAGCATACTTTGTGATGTATATGCTTATTGGCTAAGGGTAGGATATATACATATGTTAAACATGCCGAAGCCTACAGCTAAATAAGGGCATAATTTTAATATAAACGTAGATTGTAATATTAACCTTTCTACTGTAATATAATAAAAATAATTTGTTTTGCAGAGGCCTGAATCAGTGACCTCTGATGGAAAATGTAATGAAATTTCAGAAAAAGCGAGCTGCCTCTCCATAACCCTGAAAGTAGATGCTCGTATAAAAGACTTCATATATACGAGTATAATATGTACATGTATCACTGATAGTCCCTGACTGTGCAATTATAGGCTAACAAATTATAAATTGTTCATTATTTAATGTCAACTTTTTATGCAGCGCCAAAATAACTTGAATATCCAATAACCTAGTAATGTAATCAATGATAAAGTGCATCACTTGTTCACAATCTGACATGTACTGCTCTAGCTTCGTGTCGATTCCAATACTGCATACTAGGATTTCGTTTCACTACTGGGATAATGCGTTGTGCATATACACTATAGCCTGAGTTACTGTAGTTTTTATTGCTTGTAGTCTACTCTTCACTTCATCCTTTCTGCCTCCTGAATTATTTGACATGACAGCGTTATTGTGTTGCTTTGAGAAGGGAGAGAAAAATTCGCAAGACTTTTTCTTGAATTTAGTCCCCTGCCATAGTAATAAGCTCTAATTCACAGTCAATTCTAGAAATATACCTGTATTTTCCTAGTAGTCCATGCCAGTATATTGTATCACGTACTACTGGAAGAAGATCAGGATTGATCTCTCTTGGATAGATACATTATTGGACTCATCGCGTTAAAATATTGTGCCAAACAACTGGTTATGACAGCACTTAAGTATGGGGATGATCGATTTTAAATTGACTGATTTTTTCTAAATTAAGTCATATTACATAGAATCTTCTTATATTATCTGTTACTAAGTTCTGCTTAAAAACAGTTGTATAAGATCGTTGATGTGATTTAAATTAGTACCAGTGATTTAGACAAGGAAACTATTCAAAGTAACCATTTTTCGATATTGACGGCCTCATTTTGTAAGAAAAGTCCGTCTGTCTGGCGTAGTGAGATGCTTGTACAGTACAATGTACAGTACACAGTACACATTACGGTACTGTACAATACAAACTGTACTAAAGACTGTGCAAGGCCTACTGTACACTGTATGCCAGACGCTTCTCTTTCGCCAACAGGATTCAAAATGTCGATCTTACAGGCTGTTGTACGCGGATTCCTGCGTGGTGCCGAGAGAGGCATGACTTCCAAGCGTGGCAATAAAAACTTCTATAAAGGTATTGTGCTTTTATTGTGATGGAAGTGGCGTTTCTACAGGCTTAATTTCTTACATAATGGCAAAATCAAAGGCAAATGAAGTATGAAGTCGGATAAGAGTGCCATACGACTTTGCTCCAGTTCGCAGTTTAGTCGAATTTACAGTAGAAATTAAATTTGTGTTATAGGACAATTACTGCTAAACCACTTTATTGAGTCGCAAATGTATCATAGAATGGTTATACTGTACACTTCGATGATAGCGATAACGACGGATGAGATGTGTTGGCAACGATAGAAATATCTTAGCATGGATGGACTCCATTGCAGCTGATTAGATTGATTGTCATGGATAGTCATCGTTGTGAGAGCTTGCGATAAAATCCTAATCGATTTATTACAAGAATTAGTTCATATTGCTTTTGGATAATCTACTTTCCATAATTTGGATACGATAAATGTGCTTCTGATTGTTATAAGGTTGTAACTTTACTATGGTATTAAGTTTATAGTATTGACCACATTATCCGTCGTTTTCGCATGGTACTGTAAACGCGATTGAATAGCTCATAGAGTCTTCGTCTAGGAAAGCAATCAACGTAGCCTAGGCCCACGTTACTTTACGTCTGACTTACATTTTAAAGTCTTGTTTTGTTACTAATTTATTATTTTTATAGCCTGTTACTAAGTAAAATATATATATGATGTATAGATCTAGGCCATAAATAACGTCATTTAACTTTAAACTAATAGGAAGAGGGGCTAAGTCCAGCGGGACAAAGACAAAAAGAGGTTAGAAATGATACTCAATTTATTACCCACTGCATACGGTAATCAAGCCGTTGCTATCATCATTTTCTTCAAGTCTGTAAAAGTTATAGTGGGTTGATAATCTGTTAGTATATATACAGGAGCAACTTCGATCAAGTCGATAATGATAGTATAGCTTAATGGCTTATATACAGTATCATTTTCACTACTTAAGGTAATATACGTACACGTTTGTTTGTAGGTGGATTTGTAGTGCAACCACATAAGATTCCGGAATTAATGGTGCCTGATTTGACCGACTTTGAGGTTGGTATTAACATTTATAAAGTATTTATCTACCTTAGTACGTAAACTTTGACTGCAACCTATCCTATTCATGTTCTGATCTCCATGCTCTTTGACATTCCTCAATAATCCAAAGATTCCGACTACGATATGTCATACCAGCGAAATTGCACATTTAACATATTTAACACAATTGAACATGTCAATTCCTCATAATCTTAAAAACTCATTTTGTCACTCTAGTTACACGATATGAAATTCGAATTAGTAGTACTTATGTATAATCATCCAAAGTTTTAAATTAATTGCACGATGTAATAAAAAATTACAGTTATAATTGTGTAACGATGCTCCGAGAATTACTAAATCGTTTAAAATTTTTACATCACTGTACAGTAGATGACTTTTACAGATAATTTAAATGCATTGCATACAAATAACAACGCTTATATTTCCTTTCTGAACTTGATAGTTATTGATTCGTAAATTAATATCTCTAATGAAACATTACTTACAATCGCAAACGAATTCACTGTGAACCACATAATTTGCAGCTGTGTGCAACATAACATTATTCATGTCTCAACTTTATAACGACAATGCTAAAACGCTCCATTTTTCATTATTAACTTAATGTTGTCATTGATTCCTTTAATATAGCTAAAGCCGTACGTTTCCCATAAAGCTTTAAAGATCAATCCGCCTATCGTTACATCAGAAGATTTGCTAACTCGCTTGCCAATAAATCAAGAGAAGTCAACGGTATAACCAAGGATCAGTTTTACAAACGCAAAGAAATGAGAATTATTATGATGACATTAAATTCATTTTCGCAACATGAGCTTCAAGTTAAACAAACTTGCATTGTTTGAATATAGTGCCGAAATTTTTGTACAGTGTAGATACTCAAATGTTGTGTTGTATGGTATGTATTGCGGCTAAAGAACTATCATTTTTCTTTAATTTAAATCGGAGCTCATGTAATTACGTAAATTAAAGGAAAATATATGAATTGGTATTTGGCATTTACCAACAATCAAGTTTAAATTTATGATCACATTGCACCTCATACTTTTCTGGTACTAAATTGTAAACAGCTGCGTGTGAACTGAATTCTGTTATAGCAAAATATCTAGATGAATTTACTAATTCGCATCTATGGATAACTGATGTTAATTAAAGTTAAAATTTGCGTAGTTTTATTTTAATCTGCTAATGAGATCACGTTATGATAAGCGTTTATGCTAAAAACTATGTAAAAACTACTCGATAGCATTGATGATGCAAACGGTAATTCTAATAAATAAGAAAAATACGACTCCTACATTTACATATCGCTGCTACTGAAAATACTACAGTAATAACTATATTCTTAGCATAAAGTTGCCAAGAAGTTGAATTTTATCATAGGCAATACTGCAAGACCATCTTTGGCGTGAGTTATAACGCCCATCATTTATTATGGGAACTAAACGATTGTATTACGAAACCTTTAAGGGAACCCATTCTATTTCATAATTCTAATCTACTATCAAAACAGTAACCCAAGTTCACAACTTAGTCACATCTTGCGCGATATTTATTTCCTTTCTCTCCAGCTTTTTCAAGTTCTAAACCTTTATGCATTTAGGCAAGAACCACTATAAATTTGTTAGCTATTATTTTTGTACATAATTGTCTATCATAAACGTAAATTAAATATTTTTTCGCGTACAGATAATAATTAATAATGATGACATTAAAATGAAGTATAATTAATAGTTCAGATAGCAACTGCATATGTTGCAATAGTTAACATAATCACTACATCGCTAAAAAGAGCAGATGTAAAACATCCCGACAAACATATAGTATATAATTCTATTATTAATTTGTAGAGATAAGACCACAACAAGCTTTAGACCTTGGTAGCCCAAAGAATAAGAAATATCACGATTTCAGTAATATCTCGTTACAAAGTAAAACGTAATCCGATCGACAATTCAATAGACCACGTTTATGTACTAAAAGCAGACAGAGGTATTAATAAACAAAAAAGGCAACATTAATTTAAGATGGCCAATAAAAAGTGATCTTATTTCCATATATATCAAACTTATTATTCTACAAAATACAGTCAATAATAATTTTTATGGAGAGGAAATTACATTTCTGTTCTAACAGTATAAATTATTATTGTTATAATATCACAATCTTCGGAGCTACGTGTACCATAAACGTACACACGCTATAGTTATATGTAGGTATTTATATATATATGCATTGTCATACTGCTATATATAGAGAGAGATATACTTATAAATAACAGTTTTACTGTAACATATATAGACGGCAAATGTTATCGCTTTAAGAGTTCATATACACAATCAAGTTGTTGACATGTCCACTACAGATATACCACATATACTTGTATGTCACATATAAGAGCGGTACAATATAACAAGCATAATCTACATATTCAAAATTATCTCTAGATGAGACGTATTATAGTAGAAACCTACCATCGAGCATACATATTTATAACTTACTACAATACTTTTTTATTAGCTTCAACGATGCTGCAGATATAATTTATTTAATTAATGTATTACGGCATGATTACTTGTAAGTAAAAATTTCAACGACTTTTAGATTCTGGGATGCTCCTACTTTTTTCCGTCTTTCGATGACCTACTTTCTCATCTAAAAGTATCAAAATTTACGTTAGAGCTTAACCAAATCAACAATTTATCAAATCTAAATTTTTTCGTAAACGAATGATAATTATAATTAGGTATATTTTGCATATTATATTAATACATTCAGCTTCATTACCTTGATTAGAACTTCGAGATGAACGATTTTGTGAAATCCTGTCCCCAGGCCATATATTTGCGTCTGGAGATTCTCTGACACCTGAGGAATAACATGACGGGGCTCTATAAAGGCGATTGTAAGTATTACAATCTGGACTGCTTACGGTTGGTGTTGTTGCAACTAAACCGTTTGGCTGCAGATTCTAAATGTAAAACATTCAAAGAAATTAAAATGTTAATAATAAAAACGTACCGTATTGATGTAACTAGTGTACTAAATGTTACACTGTGATAAAGTCAAACATTATTATAAATCGATAAGAAAGTCGTTATAACTATACAGTTATCAATCTACCAGAGTATATTGACCATCAGAAGCCTTTAATAATTTACTATAGTCCAATTTATCAGCATCCATCGATGCCAAATATGGTGTGCTACCCGTAAAAGTTGGCAACACATAGCCAGGAAGTTGACATAGCTGTTGGTTGACAGGTAAGTGGACAGGGAGAGTCGCCTGAGGAAGTATCGAAGCAATTAGTAAGATATCTTTAAAATAACATCACAGGGTATATAAGTACGATCTTACGGTATTATTCAATAGATTATAAATATGTAAAGATTAGACTAAAGATTGCGTACGTGTTTCAGAAACTCTGCATTAGCGAACGGAAATTGCTGGCCTAGCATTACACTAGGTATAGCACTATTTTCCCAACCATGACCAACTTGATTGCATGATGGCATAATAGTGGCTAAATTACCCCCTGGTATTCTACAATCTATCAATTTATTCTGACAAGACGGATTCACAACTGGCTGGCCATTATAGAAGTAAGAATATGCTGATAATGCACTTCCTTGCTCCGGGTTAGTTGGTGCCGTAGCAACTTTAGGTCTTATATCTAATAAGATTAGAAAGGAAATATCGTTATCATATGACTCATCTTAAAGATAGAAAGAACTCAATTTGTTGATATAATTTAAAACTTAACCAGAACTGGAATTAGATGCACTGGACTTTCCTTCTTTGCTACGTGAAGCATCTTTAGTTTCGCAAGAAGGAGATTTAGAATTAGCTTTAGATATATCGCTATTGGCTTGTTGTGATGACGTAGGCGTTTGCATTTGTGATATAACAGTATGATGCTCTTCGCTTGAAATCGTTTTTTCAGCCACTTTTGGGCGTACCGCTATAGCAGCAACAGAAACCGCATTGCTACTGCGATTTTCGTTATCATCACGACAAACATTTATGGGAATGAACTCAGATTGCATCGCTGAGCGATGATTGTTAGTTTTGCCTTCCATAATATCACCGACTTCGTCATCTTCGTCGTCATCTTCATGTTCGGAACATTTCAAGTCAATTTCAAATAATTCTTTATGAGTTTTTTCTTCGCTATGATGCTCGGAAATTTCACGAATTTTGGCAACATCTTGACTTTTACAGGATAAAGTAAAGTCTTCATCGCATGTCTGAGTTTCCACCGTGCGTGATACATTATCGCCATGGTTATTGCTATTCTTACCATTCTATTAAAATAGTTGTCAACGGATATATTATGTGATCGTAATAATATCAGAGATGTTCGAAATCGTCGTTTACATTCCTATTAATTTTAGTATAACAAAATTACTGACCTCAGGTGTCGGTTCGTTAACTACTTTTGAAGGCTGACGAGTGACAGACGATGAATTCTTCGAAGGAATGTTATCGGTGCTTATTTGTCCTAATTTTGTAAATGCTGATTCTTTATCATGATGTAAACCATGGTGCTGAATATGAAGCTGCTTTGGAGCTATGATGATATAAAAGGGTGAAAAGAAGTCAATTCGGTGTAATACGTAAAATACAGTAACAAATTATTACAACAAGAAAATCATAACGGTTACTATTGCGTCCTGGATATTATAGGTATTTTAGTAAGTACTCTACTTACCAACTTTAACTTGACCATTGAAATCAACGTCAGAATTCTTTTAACAATAGTAAAAATTCAATATTACAAATTACGGTATGTACAGTATAATCCCTAATATTAGTGATAATGAGTAAGTTCTGCACTTTTACCTTTTTGCGAGATAATGAATTTCTGGATGGCCTTGTTAAGAGGTTCTTTAAAGTAGCTATGACATCTTTCGAAGCAGTACCTGGAACGAAACCGAATATAAGTGTAATAAAAGGCAAAAGCAGTAACGTTTAACTCCTATAGTTGACATTACAACATCATAGTCTATGCGTAAAGCATTCTTATACGCGTGCATCAGTAAACTAATACAAAACTAATTGGCGAATAGAATAGCATAAAGCTTAAAATATAAACTATTTCTTATAATAGATGTTTTTACTATTATTACGACAACACAAAACATATTATCGTTTTAAATATAATCACACACTAAAAATGTTTGTAGCCAAAAATTTACCTTCCTTGTCATAAGAAGTGGGTACTACATTACGTGAGTAATTATTTCCATGGTCAGTGCTAACAGAAGACTCAGTAGTTGCTTTCATGGATCTTTCAGGTGGATTATGACTAAAATGTGAATTTTTGCAAACAACGGTTGTAGTCCATTTTAATTTTCATAGCAAATACCAATTACTAAAATAATTCTGCAATACCCATAACGAACAAATTACAGTATCTATATTATATTATAACAGTATATCTCATAAGCAAATTCAACTAAATCCGATTTCATTCTTATAGAAAAACGCCATCGGAGTTCGATAAACTATCACTAAAACTAACACATTCAATTCGGTATACCTAACACTTATCCTATGTTCTTTCGAAGAGTCTTCCACAGTAGGTAAACTAGTTTGAGTATCATTAGTAAGTTTACTATCCACCACAGCTATAGATTGTTGAGTAGTTTTCGGATGTTCCTTATTGCAGAATTGACGAAAATTTACAGTATTAGATTGTGAAATATGCTCTTCCGAATGTTCCTGAGGATTACTAGAATATCGCCCAATGCGAATATAATTAACATCTTTATTTATGGATTGGCTTGCGGATACCGTTGATGGAGTGCCATGTCGTGAATTGGTTATTACATTCTTCCCATCTTCATCACATTTCCTCTTTTTACCACGCGGAGAGGATGCGTTCGAATTGTAATTAACTTTATAAACAACTTGATGATCTTTGATATTATCTTGATGATCGGGAAGGGGCGATTGATTTACGGGTCGATAAAATTGTCTCTTTTCATGGCGATTTTGATTTAGCAACGATGAATTGCTTAATTCACTTTTGCTAGAATTAATTGTAGCTATCGGTGTTGTTGGAGCGGATAATGTAATTCGTTGACCAGCTGAGGGTGGCGGTGTTAATAATTCAACAGCAGATGATGGTCTTGATGTACTGTTATTTCTATCATAATTAATGCTATTAGAGTTGTTACTAGCTGAGTTTCCAGAATTGGTATTATGACCACTGGTATTATTTGTTTATTATTTTTTTTCACAATATTCTGCCAAGTGTTTGAGAATGGGGTGACAGATGTATTTGGGCTTACACTTGAAGGTGGAAAAGGAAAATGAGATGTCGATTTAGCCGACGATAGCGGTGATTCAAAAGGTGTTGTACAACGAGAATTACTTAATGATAATAACAAACTAGCAGCTTCGGTATCGTTCATTTCGCTAAAATCATCATCACTAGCTGCCCGATCGCCAGTACTGCTTGCATCAGTAATCGAATTGCCATCGTTAGCTGATGAAGGACGTTGAGTAGAATCACTAAAAAGATCTTTCTTTGATGCACCTTTAATGCTATCACCATGCTGCGTCAAGTGCCTTGAACAATAACCACGACGTTGCGATTCTTTATAGCAACCTTCTTTCGAACATAGTCGTCGCCATTGCTTGCCATTGAATTTTTTTCTGACACCCATAGGCGTAATGACGACATCCCCTTTTTTATATTGGACCCCACCAGTAGATTGAGCTCGCTTATTCAGCCGACTGCCACCAGTAATGCTTCCATTACTGCCACTCAAATCAGCATCATCATTAGTATGAGTAGGACTTGGCGTAATAACACAGCGATCTTCAGAGCCAGGTATTACAGAATGCGGTCTAATTTGTTCATTACCTTGGACACTATAACACTGCCATTCTTTCAACTCATCCTCAGATGGGGCGCTATCAGTTTGCTCATCATCATCGTTGTTGTTGTCATCTTCATCCATTCCGTTATTTTCATCACTGTCGAAAGTATCATCATCATCATCATCATAGCTGCCACTATCTCGTTTTGTTATAGATCGTTGATAATGAGTTGCAGCAGCAATATCGCCAGGTCGACGTAATAGACGTAAATCAGAACATTTCTTCCAAACAGTTTTAACCCGGCAGCCATTACTTAAAGTTTCACCTACATCATCTAGGACAACTTCATATGAATTTCCTTTGATACTTGTTACTGTACCAATACAGTAGGTAACACTACCTTCAATTGGCTGAATACAGACACGGCTATCGACATTAACAAAATCAACAGAAGGCACTGAGCTTGATATTAAATCAATTTTTTTCCCTTTCCAAGGATCGAGAAAAGTAGTTTCTAACTGATTATGATCAAATATCACTGTTACGACCTCTTTCATTCCAATACGGTCGCTGTAACTTTCTTTTACGGTAGCCATGTAGTAATAACGATCACGTCGAGCAAGCACCTTTTGTCCACTTAAGGCATTATCACGGCGTAACGATGAAGATGGTGATATGACTCTACTTTTCTTCAAACTTGAAGTTAAAGTATTATTATAGCTAGTTTTTTCACTGAAGCAGCGTTGATGTCGTTTATTACCTCGCTGTGAAAGTTGTATCGATTTAGATTGTGGCATTCTATCGGCCAACGGTGATGGCGAATATCTAACACGTTTAGGTGACGCAATTGTAGGCGTCTTTTCAATGCCTGAATCACCCCCAGGTGTTATACTACGTGTAGGCGAAATACTTTCTGCTTTATATAGTTCTCGCGGTAACGCCAATTGATTCTTACTGCCTGATCTACCTTTGTTTTCAGAATCATAAAATGGCGCTCGCTCCTGTGTAAAGTTAGCCTGGTGCTCTTTGCAGTTACCATTTGCAATTGTATCGTCAGTATTACTAGTAATTTGATGATCGGGATGTATCTGATGTTGTATTGTTGTTGGCCTTGAGCTAGGAAGATTTCTACTATTACAGCCGAATATCAAAAAATACAAATAAAAGTTTAAAATACTACATATTTAGAATGATATAATTAAACATCTTGTAAAAATCATAATTCGTTTTAAATGTGAAAAATTTACTTTATACTGCTTAGTACAGTATATAATGGACTGATTTGTACTGCACTTCAATGACAACTAAGAGCGGTCTACGACATAATCTCTTAATTTTTTCTATATTCTTTTGTTACAATTAGGCACGATTTTTATTATACAGTTACGTTACGAACATTAACTAAATTATAATCAGGGATGATCCTATGATTCTAGTCTATTCTTTGCCTAGAAACCAGACCTGTTTTAAGTCAATGAGCAGTAACTATTCGTTTACCTTCCAGCTTTATTTACTTCATCTTTTATGTGACCATCTTGGCCATTGACAGTAGAAATACTATTCTCATGTGATGACCCATTTGCTCTAGCTGTATCACATTGAGGTTCTATCCTATCCGAGGTTGACGAAAATATACGATATCCGCCACCATGACGATGATGCAGTAAATGCCCTTGACTACGACTCATTCCCAATATTACCAGTACAATCAGTAGATAAAATTAATTTTGTTCGTGTAATTTGCAGCCTTGAAAAATAAAAATCATAAAAAATATTGATTAGTTTTTATTTCAAATTTGGTCGAAAACGTTTACTGTAGTGGCATTACACACGTAACACATTCTATTAAGTTCAACCTTATAAATTATGATGCTATGTTGTTACAAAAATTATTAGCATACATTTGCAATGCTGTACAATTTCAAAGTGTTTTAGTAATAACAATTTCTAATACGAAATTTTATTTATGTACACTATAAAAATCGTTCGAATGGGAAACCGAAATTGTTTGTCTCTCTAACTGCGTATACGCAGGAGTCTTAACTCAATGATCATGTTTAAGGTATCTATAATCTAAATATCACTTAGTGGTTCTTAGGATATTGTCGCCAATATCGTCATTATGTGTCTAATTATTTTACATCAAATTTCGCAAATGCCCCCGTTGTGCAAGTTATAAAAAGCGTAACGATGGAAGAAAATTAAAAAATATTGAATAAAAAGCGATGAAAAAATGGATTAGTATCTCATCGATATCACGGCATTATTATTTTTGTTTTGTTCATAGAGTAAATAATTAATTTCAGTTTCCTTCCAACTCAATCACAAAACCTAGGCATAGTCTTCATTATCTTTGACCACCTTCTTTAAAAACTATGGGCAAGTAAATTAATATTACGCTTAATAACAACAATACTGTAAGTTTTGTTTTGTAACCTACAGTATATATACTCGGAATCATCCAGAATGCGATAAATAGCTAAGATTAGAAATGGATCAGCATTTATCGATGGGAACAATTTATCTTATCTTATTGTTGAACTGATACCGAAAGACCGAGAAAACGTGTGATACAGTGCTGTACTTAACGATATTAAAATGTTGAATGTTCTATACGGTGGATATCAACAAAAATATCGATATATTATACAGTGCATGACTACACTACAAAGCATGTGATTTTAATTTTTTGCACTATACAGGTCATGACTCAAGAGGCCTACATTATAATTGTACTATTTCATCGAATAAAGTACCTACAGTACAATATTTGTCTAGTTCCAAAGCGTTGTTATGTTGTACTGTAATGTAATTAAAGAGCAGTGCTACAATACGTAGTCCAAAATTAAACTAATACTCATTATTATACTCAGAAGAAAAATGATACGAATACGTCATGCGCTTGATGTGTTTCTGCAATTTTAGTATAATTCTATTTTATTCTTCTTATTATTAGCATTCAGTATGCACGTATATTACTACAAAATATTGTGCAGTATATATATGCACGTATACACGTATAAAAACTTTCAAATTTTCATCTTGAATGATATAACTAGGTAAATTGATCTGGATTTATCTCTCATTTCCTAAGTTTTAAGGACTTGAACCATATTAACTCGAGTGAGGTCTGCTACTATCTCGATCATAACTCTGGCAGTGCTCTTCTGCAGTACTGTACATACTTTCCGTTTAGAAATCGCTTCTAAACAAACGTTAGCTAAACATTGATTGGTTACAATAGCATAGTACGTAACATATTGTACTGCAGAAGTCTACATCGTATTCTGTAGCATAGTTCAAAATTACTCATCAATTACGTATAATTATTAGCTTTCATCGACAACTGATTTCAAACAAGGGAATTCACCAGAAAGCCATCCTGCTAGTGAGTTTACAGTAATTATGTGAATATAAAAAGATGCCAATGTGCAGAATTCACCTTTATTCATACTTTCATAGTAGTTGTAATAAAAGAAAGGTGACAACCCGAAAAAGCGTCATGACGAAATAATCTCTCCAGGCGATTCGCTATCGGTTGGCAGGAATAAATTATTCCATTACAGTACGTTACGGTATTTTCAATTTCCACTCAGTCGCAAATTAGTCGCAATACAGTAATATAGAGAAAGTCTTTACTCATCATTAGTGCTAAGTAATTTAAGCAAGCGATCTACGAGTTTTCCTGGGTCATCCTGTAGATTCTGGATTTCTGTACCGAATCCGAATGTTATTTTTCATTGCTTTTGACTGAGTCAAAAGCAATGAAGTTTACTGTAATAGTTTAATGACATTTTCTTTCTTTTTTGTTACCGTGCGCAACTGTAGAGTATACTGTACGTACAGTACTGTAATCAGCCAGTCTCCACTTTACAGGTTACAAGCATTACACTGCACCCATGATTGAAGCATAATACAAGCACCTACTACAGTACTGTGCACTGTAGTACTGTATGTATTGTACTGTACAGTATGTACTGTAGTACATTGTTATTTATACAACTTTTTTTTTTATCATTACCCAAACGTAACGATGAAAAAAAAAAAAAAATTACTTCAGCTACAACTGTGAGCTGTACGATTTCTCTTTTATTTTTACTCTACTCGGATCATACTCTAATAGTGATATCTACATAGCAGTATATATAGTTATGAGCTTTATCCTTCTTCATTAAAATAGTCAAAGGATATTCCTATACACAGTACAGTAAATTCACTCCATTTACTAGGGAAAAAAAAACAATATCGTATGACATTTAAGTACAGTACTGTACAGTACTATAAGTCCGCTTGCGGATCTACAGATCTACTGTACCAATCATACGATTTTTCTTACTTGGTCATAAGGTTGGAATAACTTGAACCATTTATTTAAGGGCAATAAGAAGCGTCGACTTACGTTACTTATTAGAAACGGCAAAAACTCCGTTGCCCGGCTAACGAAATGTTGAAAGGTTCAGGTGATTTTAGATGGATTAACAACCAAATGTTCATGTCACTAACATGAGTACATGTACTGTACTCTATTTCTACGGCAAAGAATTAATGTGATGTTTCGTACGAGTCGGCAGTAGTATACAGCTACATGTCTGAAGTCTGCACGTCCGTGTTCACATTGATTAATTAATTAATTATATTATTTAATAATAATTACTGCACAGTGTCCCAATACAGTACTGTACGGTACAGTACTGCATTGGCCAAATGTCATGACACGAAGCGTACAACTGCACATATTGTACTGTATGACTGGTACGAGATACCGCATACTGTACAGTACAATAAGCGACCTAGTGTACAGTACAGTGTGCAATACAGTACTGTATGTACAGTACAATATAGGTAAAGCCCATAAGGATTGGCATTTTTGATGCCTTTTTTTTTTATTTATTTTAGTTGTTACTATTCAAGAAAACGAAGAAAACGGATCACATTGTACTGTACGTATAATTTTCCTTCTTTAATACTCTGCAGTGTACAGTGCACTGATATACACCGAGTATACAGTACAGTAGGGAATAGCAAAGGAAGCCAAACATCACAAGTACAAGTGTAAAACCATTTTACTCTCAGCGTGAAGCGATTCATGATGGTATTGGAAACAAACAGTCACACTCGTAGTTACTCAATATTATCTCAACTTCAAAATGTGCCTCTTCTAGATTAATAGGTATTAACTAGTTGATCCTAGCTGTTAATTCAGTACTGTACAGTAG